TCGCATCTACCAAAGCACATGCCACATCAAGCAATTAAGTTCGATGCCTTGGAACACCTAAATATTGGCAGCAAACCTGTGTGAGGCTTCTCGAAGCCAGGTAGATGATTTTTTGAAGCTAAGTGACCAAACAGCAACACACAATGAAACTTCAGACACAGTTGTGACACAACAACCAAGTATTGACATGAAACTAATTCTGGAATCATGATGGACAATTTGGCCAAAACCAACTGTTTCACCAATCACTTGCGCAAACTGACCGACGTTGTCCAAGCACGACAAGATAATCCCAAACCAACACACACACAATTTTGTAAACACTTAATGACACACCGTGGTCTGCAAATACTGCCATTCGTTTGTAACCAAATGTATGTAAATTCAACTATGCGCGCTTTCTTAAAGAACATGTCTCATCCTGCCTTTGGTCCAAAAGGGGAGGGGGCAAGGCGGGCAAAAAATCGCCGAAGAGACTTAGGCTATGGAATCCTGTTCCTGCCATCATTAATCCGTCTTGGGTTGCAAAGTTGGACCACTGTTTGAAACCAACCGCTGCCGGTTCCGGGAACCAGGGTTCCGGGCAAGGTTCCGGAACTCAGGGTTCCGGGAACCAGGGTTCGGGGCAAGGTTCCAGGTTCCGCAAACCAGACTTTCAAGCAAGGTTCTGGGAACAATGGGTTCTGGCTACCTTTTGGGTTCCGGGACGTCAAGGTTCCGGGATCCCCAGGTTCTCGGCGCCAGGAAGGTTCCGGGCACACTTGGCTTTCGACAAGGTTCCGGGAACCTTACCATGGTTTCGAGCGGTTCTGGAATCACCGGAACACCAATTTTGAAACATCCTGGAAACCCAGAGTTTGGGGAACGAGGGTTCCGGCAAGGTTCCAGCAACACTGGGTTCCGACAAGGTTCCGAGAACCACCGCGGATGCGGACCCACAGTTTGGATATACTTCCTGGATTATGCCACAGGTTCCGGACAGGGACAAGGTTGCGGAACAACAATTTTCAAGAAGCCCAGCCCAGGTTCCAGAGAACCAGGGTTCTGGCAAGGTTCCGAGGTTCCGGAAACAACCCAGGGGTCGGATATACGCCGTGGGTTGTACCAAGGTTCATGCTACGGACAGGGTCCCAGAAAACCAATTTTCAAGGAAACCAAGGTTCCAGGACCATATAGGCCCTGTCAACGAGCAATCGCTGACAGGGGGGGGCACAGCGTGACAATAAATCAGCGCGTCTCGGTTCCGCAAACCCAGGGTTCCAATATACGCTGTGGGTTGTGCCAAGGTTCCGGAAACGAGGGTTCCAGGAAGACAAGGTTCCAGGAACACAAGGGATTCCGGAAATCCCCCAGCCAATCTTGGGTGCTTTGTGGCGGGTTCCGCACATGCCGATTCATGTTCGTTTGCTCAGTGGGCGCACAGCGTCGGTCGACTGACCTGTTCTGATGTTGCTGTAAAATCTTCTGTTTGAACTGTTCCGATGTCGCATCTACCAAAGCACATGCCACATCAAGCAATTAAGTTCGATGCCTTGGAACACCTAAATATTGGCAGCAAACCTGTGTGAGGCTTCTCGAAGCCAGGTAGATGATTTTTTAAAAGCTAAGTGACCAAACAGCAACACACAATGAAACTTCAGACACAGTTGTGACACAACAACCAAGTATTGACATGAAACTAATTCTGGAATCATGATGGACAATTTGGCCAAAACCAACTGTTTCACCAATCACTTGCGCAAACTGACCGACGTTGTCCAAGCACGACAAGATAATCCCAAACCAACACACACACACAATTTTGTAAACACTTAATGACACACCGTGGTCTGCAAATACTGCCATTCGTTTGTAACCAAATGTATGTAAATTCAATTATGCGCGCTTTCTTAAAGAACATGTCTCATCTTGCCTTTGGTCCAAAAGGGGACGGGGCAGGGCGGGCAAAAAATCGCCGAAGAGACTTAGGCTATGGAATCCTGTTCCTGCCATCATTAATCCGTCTTGGGTTGCAAAGTTGGACCACTGTTTGAAACCAACCGCTGTTGGGGGATCTACGTCGGCTTATTATTTCCTGTTTTTTCTCCAAAGCTGAGGTAGCCGGACAAAAAGAGGTCTGAAACCACTCTGAAACACCCGCTGCTCACCATTTACAACGCTCTCTCTCTCTCTCCTCTCCCTCTTCCTCTCTCTGTCTCTCTCTCTCTCTCTCTCTCGTTTTCTGTTTGTTTCTATCTGTGTCTCGTGCTATCCTCTTTTCCGGACCGCTGCATGTCTTTCCGGACCGTAATGTCTACAATTAGAGTACGTTTTGGGTGCTTGCTTTTCCGGACCGCTGCATGTCTTTCCTGGCCGCAATGTCTACAGTTAGAGTACGTTTTGGGTGCTGGCTTTTCCGGACTGCTGCATGTCTTTCCGGACATCAATGTCTACAATTAGAGTGCGTTTTGGGTGCTTGCTTTTCCGGACCGCTGCATGTCTTTCCGGACCGCAATGTCTACAGTTAGAGTACGTTTTGGGTGCTTGCTTTTCCGGACCGCTGCATGTCTTTCCGGACCGCAATGTCTACAATTAGAGTGCGTTTTGGGTGCTTGCTTTTCCGGACCGCTGCATGTCTTTCCGGACCGCAATGTCTACAGTTTGAGTACGTTTTGGGTGCTTGCTTTTCCGGACCGCTGCATGTCTTTCCGGACCGCAATGTCTACAATTAGAGTGCGTTTTGGGTGCTTGCTTTTCCGGACCTGCATGTCTTTCCGGACCGTAATGTCTACAGTTAGAGTACGTTTTGGGTGCTTGCTTTTCCGGACTGCTGCATGTCTTTCCGGACCGCAATGTCTACAGTTAGAGTACGTTTTGGGTGCTTGCTTTTCCGGACCGCTGCATGTCTTTCCGGACCGCAATGTCTACAATTAGAGTGCGTTTTGGGTGCTTGCTTCTCCGGACCGCTGCATGTCTTTCCGGGCCGCAATGTCTACAGTTAGAGTACGTTTTGGGTGCTTGCTTTTCTGGACCGCTGCATGTCTTTCCGGACCGCAATGTCCAGAATTAGAGTGCGTTTTGGGTGCTTGCTTTTCCGGACCGCTGCATGTCTTTCCGGACCGCAATGTCTACAGTTAGAGTACGTTTTGGGTGCTTGCTTTTCCGGACCGCTGCATGTCTTTCCGGACCGCAATGTCTACAGTTAGAGTACGTTTTGGGTGCTTGCTTTTCCGGACCGCTGCATGTCTTTCCGGACCGCAATGTCTACAGTTAGAGTACGTTTCGGGTGCTTGCTTTTCCGGAACGCTGCATGTCTTTCCGGACCGCAATGTCTACAATTAGAGTGCGTTTTGGGTGCTTGCTTTTCCGGACCGCTGCATGTTTTTCCGGGCCGCAATGTCTACAATTAGAGTGCGTTTTGGGTGCTTGCAAAGCAACTCCTCCAGCAGTTCTTCTTCAGATTCATCCAGCTCAGAGAGGTGAAAGCTCGGAGCAGCTGCTTTCTTCATGAATGTGATACCTACTTTAATTGGGTTTAGTATTAGCGATACCCCCCCTCCAAACTAATGAAAGCAATGATATGTAAATTGTTACGGGACTGTGGTTAGCGATGGGACCTTTCCAAATCATGTTGATGTCCTTTCCTCAGACAAGGAGTATCGACAGCCGCACAGCTGAATTTATGTGAAATTTCAGCTATACATGGTGAGACATGTATTGATTATTTACTGTAAAACGCATTGTGCATTGCTTTTTTGTTGCATATCATTGGGTGGTATACAAATCCTTTCAAATATATAACATTGAAAACTTGGGAAGAGGTTTGATAGCTCACAGAATAGTAACCACCCCTAGATACCATTAAATCTTAACAGGACCAAGACTTTGGTTAAGCCCTATTAGTAAGAGTATGACCACCCGGTATGTGTATATGATGTGTATCGAATATATTTTTAGGTGACATTTTTATTTTACACACACATCCATGGGATTTCATGGATAGTAATATTATATATATTTTTTATTAGATATATAACTATTGTATATGTGGTAATATATGTAATTATATACACACCCAGATCCAAACATCCATGTATCTATATTGCTCATTGAATTACACACAGTAGTAATCGCACATCCCCATGAAATCCTATGGACCCGGTCTCCCTCGCAACTAAGGCGGAAACTTCGGCGTGTGGCAGAGCAGGACACAGCTGATGACTAATGGACGGGATGGACGAGGGATGGCCAGGTTGATGTTTGACCACAGCACATTTAACTAGCAAAACTGGGACTTAGCCAAGAAGGGAATCGGAATCTATGTTCACCAACAAAAAATGGTTTTAACCATGCACGAAACAAGGCAATCAGACGAGACAGTAAAAGGTAAATGTTTGGACAAACCGACGCAGTGCTAGCCAGTTTTTTTCTTGTTGGTATCTGAGATTCCCTATCTTTAGGTTGTTTAAACATTTTTTTATGTGCCAATCTCTTGGGGGTTTCACCCAGCAAACATGAAGAGTATCAGCCAGGTTTGATTCCCACACAGGGTAAAATCCATGTTGGATTTTGGGGTTCCCAAAACCGGCCATTTCAGACTTTTTCTGGGAGGCAAAATGACACCTGCACCCACTATTCTACATATTGTTTTTTGGTATGCAGATCTGGATTAGGACCGATTAGGACGAATCATGTTCATATACGGCCATAGTCCCAAGTGTTTTTGGATGATGACATGATTGGCAGCCTTTTATGGAGTAATATTGTACAAAGGGATAGCCGTCAGATCATCAATGAGGTTTCTATACAGAACATAAGAGTGGGGATGCAGATGCCTAAGCCGATTTTTGCGCTGAATCATTTTTTGGACTTCCATGATTTTGACCCACGCCGAGTTGAGAACAAGTTGGCAGTTTCAAACCCGACTCGACCCGCTGCCAGCGGCTCGCAGCCAGCGTGAAGTCACGCGTCAACAGTCACGCCCCAGCGACCACAGTTGTCGCAGATCGTTCCGGGACATCATGGCTGGTCGTGTGGTGTGGCAGCCCAGAACCCAAATCATTCACCACATTGTTGAAGATGGAGCCCAAACGATAGTGATTCCATGCAATTTCTCATTGGAAATTAATCTGTCAAATATTTTTGTCGAAATTAATGTTATAGATTGCAAAGTTGTAGGCGTTGCAGTCGCTGCTGATATATGGTGGCTGGTGTGGTACCTTCTTCTTCCGTTGTCTGATTTGCATATAAACAGATCAGAATGAACTTGGATAGATTCCTGCGTCTTTGGTGAAAATCATACGGAGGCCAAGTCCAGTACTGCACTATACTGCACTTCCTCCTTACTGTACCTTCCACGGCCCTAGCTCAACGTGACTTCCTCTGCACTTGGAAGAGCACTTTCCAACCAGGCTCACCAAGCTCCGTCCCACCCACCGATACATTGGAGGAGGTTAGTAGTCATGTCATGTATTGCAAGAATTCACAACCTGAACACAGCTGCTTTACAGGCTTGCAACGTCTTTATATGTAACATTGAAACATCATATGACCCCTTTATATCCCCTTTTTCGTTATTCTTCGGGACCAGTCCCCACGACTGTGGTCACTTCCCAATGTCCCCCTAGGCATCGGCTACGGCCTTGGCTTTGACCGCCGGCAGCATTGCCTTCGTGGCACCCAAGGCCCAGGACGGACGGTTTGTGGGTCCGAGTAGGGCCCGAGTTATACCAGGTATAAGTTATAAGTTATACAGTGAAATAGCCCCATTCATGGACATTTATGGAATATATATATATATTATATTTTTATAATTTTATATATACATATGTATTTGCCCACTTATTATAGAAATAAATAGAAATAAGTGGTAAAGGGGCATAACATGCCATAACATGCCATGGCATGATGCAAAGTGATACACTTTGGTAAGCATACACACAATACACACATATCATATATATATATACATCTATGGAAAATTAACCTTTTTCTCATGGAAAAATCATCCATGGCCCATGGCTTCCAGAGAGATGTTAGTTTACTGGAGGGTATATCCCAGAACAAGTTGGACCGAAACGTAGCGTCTATGACTCTATTGTACCATGTCTGCCCGGCAGACACAATTCAACTTATTGTGGCGGTTTCACGTCATCGAGATCATCCTTGGCGCTGGTATCAACAGTATGTCCACCTACTAAAACCGCCCAAACATCAGATGATTTCGGCATTTTTGGGCCTAAGAAGGTATCATGCTATGTCTTGTGTGAAGAGCATAATATCATTTCCTGCGAGAAACTTTGAGAAAAGGACCGAACAACTAGCTCCAAAACCGGCAAATTGGGAGTTTGAGTTCCCTGCATTATTGTTCGCTGATAAATCAACCCATGTCAAGTATGTTTACCCATGTGTTTCACAATGTTTGTGTATTGTGGGGGTCCAAAATCCATGAACAAACAAAACAGTGTTCCTATAGTAAATATGTTTACATGGACGCTTGGATAGATGGTCTTTGGATAGATTTATTGTAACCATGCACAAACATATGTTTTTAATTGTTTGGACTGAATATATCTGACCAAAATTTGTCAACTAACTGTTTAAAGTAGATCAGCAGATCACCAAGTTATTTCGCATTTGATGAAGGCTATCTAATTCTCCAGTGCTTGTTGCATGTTCATCCAACAGCTTGTGTAACTAACCACAAATCTTGAATCACCCCACATCTCCCATTTTGTGGTTGCTAAATCTCCGTATCTTGGCATAAGAGCCTTCTTGGTCGTGGATATCTCATTTCATTCATTTTTAAAGAGCCATGATCAATTAATTTATTCAAAGGTCATGGAAAAAATTGTCAAATCCCTGGGTTTCCTATGAGTTTCCTATGGATCCTTCGCCGACAGGACAGCAGGGCGACCCACCTCCGAGCAGCGCCATCCAGCGGTGCCCGCGCCGCCGGCACCGGTGCCGCCTTTGGGGTCGCAGGCAGCGCAGCGGTGGCAGCCGTGGGGCTGGCGATCAGCAGCCGTAGCACCAAAGCAGGCCATGGGCAGTGCCGGGAGGTTGTTTTCCGAAGATGTGGGGTTTGAACCACCAAACATGGGGAATTTTACACGATAAAAAAAGTTTAATCACCAAGCATATATCAAACTAACATGGGGATTTTAGTATCAACAGTGTGGAGAAGGTGTGTGTGTGTGTGTTTCAGGCTATTAACTTATTAACTATTAGGTTTTCCACTAGGGAGTTAACCAGACATGTGGATCACTGATGTCCCCACTCCGCCCATTATTAGTGTCGTCTTTCGACAGACATTTTCCGTCGATCTACCCCTGATGCAATCGAACATGGCTGAAATTTACCAGCATGTAGATTGAAGTGGTTAAAACAAGAGGTTGGGACTGGATCAGCAGGACTGGGAATATCTCTAGCCGACATGAGAATAGAAAAACAAATGTAGATCGGGGAATTAATTTCTGCAAATTACCCATAATTACACCCTAAATTTGTCATGTTTGCTGCCACCATGATACACCTGTTTTGCCAGCTTGCCCAAACCTTTTTCTTGGCTTCTCAGCATTGATCAGTTGACCAAGTCATTTACGTCCAGGTAATCAATTTCACAATTGAAAGTCATCATTCACCAGAAGTGATTTTTCCATGAAAGACATGGGAAGGAAGTTCGCATGATTGCAATTTTGTTTTAATGTGTCTTTGCTTGCATCGGAGGTAGGAAACTCACTAATTGCCCTGTTTGGTGTGCATTCTCAGTTATCGTTGTTTTTTTTTCTGGTTTGAGGTCACTCCCTATTAGCTGATATACTCAGAATGACCATGGAACAATAGTTTTGAGTTACAAGTTATATTCCAATGTTTGGGGGTTTTATTGGACTTCACCCTAAGAGTCACAAAGATGGGTCAAAGGACGGACACGTGAGTGTATAATACTGTACCATATAATACATATATATTTTTTATATGATTTTATAGCAAGTCGACGGCCCAAGAGGTTTGCACTTGGAACAAACACCTGCGCTGCTTGAACACTGATCCCTCATGATGAAGTACCAGATTTCTCTGGGTGAAAGCCTCATAATGTCAACGGATCCCAGATGGTATCGTGTGAGATCCCTATAAATGATATACCATCCGGCGTCGTCAATCGTGGCGCAGGCCGGAAAATCCACTATGTGCAATTCAATGAGAAAATGCCAGGTATAAATACGGATACCATTTCGGTGACTGTTCAAGATTTCCCGCATTTTTCCCATGTTTTTCCAATATTATTTCCCATATCAATCATGGAATTTCAATTAGCTCCATTTATCCCATGATCTCCATGAATTCCCATTTCGGCGCACGGTGCGCACGGTGCCGCACCGAGGCGTTGCTCGCAAGGGCACGGTGGGCGTGTGCCTGCCGCTGTCGGAGAAATTTGATCCGCTGGAGCTGAGCAGCACAGAGACCCGCAGCAATGGTTTGGGGGTAGCACATCATTTATCTGGGTAAATTATAACGACCTCACTGTTCTCCCTCACTGGAAATCATGGTTAGTAAGGGGAATCATCCCCAAATGGCCGCAAGATTCAATTTAGTGAAATATTTTATATAATTTACCCAGATTTATGGAAACCCCGGAAACCCCCCATTTATGGTGGTAGAAATGGTGGTATGATGGGCTACCATTTTTTTGTGATCATGGGCTGGGGATATGAATGGGATATTTGTTTGCCTGATTTGAAGGATTTGAAGGAGTCTAACCAAGATGGGAAGAAATAGGGGCAGAAATGCGTGAATTTGAGAAGCAAAAATTGTCAACAAGAGTAAGATGCCAAGCGGAGAGGTCACCATTCAATACAGGTTTCAAGGGTCATAAGATATGGCCATAGATTGGGCTATACGATATACCACATCTTGAGACAAACCCATTCAGAGGTCAAACCTACAAAGCACAGAAGTTTTTCCAACCAAACATGGGGGAACATGTTTACCTGCCTGAGAACCCACCAATTACTACTACGATCTTCTGCACAACTAGTTTGTCTTCCATGTTAGTTGTCATCAGTGCCTTTCAACATCTCTTAATCAGTTGCCAACGACTCCAATAAATGATAAGCCTAGGCGTCCATGGACCAAGTGTATGGGATCCTTCTCACTTGGATGATCAACATCTCAATCCACTACAAGCACGTCAAAACCTTGGTGAATGCTTGGTTTTCATTGGATAGCCTTGCGATGGTGAAATATGTCTTATATCGCACTAAGAGCAGTTTTCTTGCAGGTCTAAGATTGGCTATCGATAACACCATCTACATGTTTGGGTTCTTTCTACCTCCATGAGATATCCGGAGTATCGAGGATGCCAAGATGGAGCGCTACACCCAGGTGGAGATTAAGCACGGCAGGCGCATCCCCAACGGAGTGAACCACCACCAATTTTAACATGGTACCACCACAATAATGATATAATAATGTCGTGGTTTAATCCTGAACCCAAGCATAAATACCATACTCCATTGAGCCACATCTTACAATAAGAGGGGTCAGAAGCCATACACGCAAACGGAAGGTCTAGTATTGAAATGTGAACTACGTGATTGTAGATAGCAGATTTGTGTTTGAGTCGTTGAGTTTCACAAAAGCAAACTGAAGATCGACAAAAAATGGTGGTGATTCTCCGATTGTATTTCCTGGCCAGGTTTGGATTTGGAGTTGAATTTCATAACTCTGGGGTGTGGATCAAACCCATCCAGGGTATCTTGTCTTGCTTTAACATTGGCTCGCTTCATGTGAGCATTCCAGACCTCCCAAGTTGATTGGCTTGGCGAGCGCCTCTGCAAACTTGTGGTTTGACTCTAGTGTCATCGAAGCCAATTAAACAATCCTACACAAATGTGGTGATTTACCATTGCCAAAAGCTGAATGCTCGGTTGTTAATTGATTTCCTTGAAAGTACCGAACTTGTAGGCCACTGTTCAGTACCTACCAATACCTAATGGTCAGATCGCAGTCCAATGTTCTTAACTCCTGATTCATCATGTTTCGTTGGATCTCAAATGTAGAAAGAAACAAATCAGCTGCTAGAGAGTTCCCCTCAGATGTTACAGCCACGTGTGGTTCGTTGCTGTATCGCAGGGTAGCCATGATCGCTGTGATGGGTTACATTATGCCTGAGATCTTCCGATTTCCAGGTTGCGAGGTGCCGTTGTCGGGATGGGTCGTGTTGTTAGTTGCGATAGTCTTGTTGTCTCTTCTCATTAGTTATATAATGTTATATATATATTTATACTTAGTTGTAGTTGGTGTAGTTGTTTTTGCTGTAGTTGCTGTAGTTATAGTTGTTGTAGTTGTAGCTGTTGTAGCAGTTGTGGTGGCAGTACTAGTTCTTGTAGTCGTAGTCGTCGTCGTCGTAGTAGTAGTAGTAGTAGTAGTAGTGGTAGTAGTAGTGGTAGTAGTAGTAGTAGTAAGTAGTAGTAGGTAGTAGTAGGTAGTAGTAGGTAGTAGTAGGTAGTAGTAGGTAGTAGTAGGTAGTAGTAGGTAGTAGTAGGTAGTAGTAGGTAGTAGTAGGTAGTAGTAGGTAGTAGTAGGTAGTAGTAGGTAGTAGTAGGTAGTAGTAGGTAGTAGTTAGTAGTAGGTAGTAGTAGGTAGTAGTAGGTAGTAGTAGGTAGTAGTAGGTAGTAGTAGGTAGTAGTAGGTAGTAGTAGGTAGTAGTAGGTAGTAGTAGGTAGTAGTAGTAGTAGGTAGTAGTAGGTAGTAGTAGGTAGTAGTAGGTAGTAGTAGGTAGTAGTAGGTAGTAGTAGGTAGTAGTAGGTAGTAGTAGTAGTAGTAGCAGTAGTAGTAGTAGTAGTGGCAGTAGTGGCAGTAGTAGCAGTAGTAGCAGTAGTAGCAGTAGTAGCAGTAGTAGCAGTAGTAGCAGTAGTAGCAGTAGTAGCAGTAGTAGCAGTAGTAGCAGCAGCAGTAGTAGTAGTAGTAGTTGTTGTAGTGGTAAGGGTAGTGATAGTCGTGGTTGTGGTTGTGGTCGTGGTAGTCGTAGTCGTAGTAGTGGTAGTTAGTGGTAGTGGTAGTGGTAGTGGTAGTCGTCGTTGTCGTAGTAGTAGTAGCTGCTGTGGTCGTGGTTGTGGTTATGATTGTGGTTCTTGTTCTTGTTATTTTTTTTTCTTATTCTTCTTCTTATCCTTCTTCTTCTTCTTCTTGTTGTTGTTGGGGATTCCTTTCTATTTCTTGTTGTTGGAGACCTTCCTGGTTGACATGACTTCACATAAGTTAGCAAAATCGGCCAGCAAGGCTGCCAAGAAGAGGGAATGAAACTGTGTTCGCAGGTCAGTCAACATGCCAATGAAACTGTTTAGTGGCGCCACACATTCAAACAAACACGTAACTTTGAGCATGGTATTGAAATCTAGTGATAACCACCAGGTAGCTTTACATTCTGGTTGCTTGGTGGATTGAAAGAACCCCTTGAGGTTGTCCCCGTGAAGCCTCAGTCCAAAATGCTTAGGAACCGGAACTCAACGAGTTTCTGCTGTTCTGGCCCCAAATTTAACATTTGGTGATGTTCTCACTATTTCTATGATATTTTTTGCTGTCCAGTCAAAAAGAAAACATTTGCATGATATTTTGGTGCTGCCATCTGGGTTTTCATCCTATAGAATAATTTATTTAAGGGAAAACCTACCAGAAACCATAATCATTTACAACATCCTTCTGTGTCAACACAGTCATCATTGCTTCTTGCATTAAAATTCATGCATTGAAAGTTTTTTGTTCCGAACTTTAGCAGCAAATCACGGGGTTATCAAACAGCAAGCATGTTTTTGTTTTGGTCAGCAAAAAAGATAGAGACATAAGATTGTTTCATTATGTTGTATCCTGTATCTCCTTCATATTTAGCAATACAACTCATAATGGTTTATGTAGTTTTATGTTTCTAAGACCCCCAAAGGTGTTTGAAGGTGTGTGATCCCATCGTTGACAATTAAACCTCCAATATCCTCCAATTATTTGCTTGTTGAATCCCGATTGTTGCTGGCTTAAACCCCCAATCATCATCCCATTAATGCATTTTTTTCCTGTATCATTATATCATTCCATTCTAATCCAATTGTATCCCATTATAATCCCAGTATAGTCCCAATCTTCCATGATAATCCCTTCCGAATCCCATATGCTCCGAAGCTTTGGCGCTTGCCGCAGTCCTTCGAGCACGGCTTGAAAGCCTTGGGATCCATCCCATTGGAAGGTTGGGTGCAGCTGGTGGCCCTGCAGCTTGGCAGATGTTTTTGCTGCCTCGGATGGTTGGGATGCCAAAGATGGGGAGAATGATTTGGATCATGATATGATGAATGAGATAAATCATGAATATAGTTTAATATTATGGATAACAGGGATATATATATATACAAATATATATAATTTGGAACCTTAGTTCAATAATTGTGATAGCGAAGAATAATGCTACAATGGTATACAGTTCAGTGAGGATGTTAATTGGTATATAGGTCAAATCTATATTCTTACATCGTGAAAAACAATATCAATGTCAATTTGTGAATAGCATTATTGTGGACAATGATGATATAATGAATGGGATGATGATGAGGACAATGGGGATAATCATGAGGATAATATTGAACATAATGATATTGTGTATACCAATGAGGATTTGATCAGCAATCATTGGGATAATCATGCGGATATCATGAACGGATATAACCAGTATGATAATTACGGGTGTCTGAACATGAGGGATCTTTCCCAAAATGGCAACTTTGATGGTATGATGGTGATGGTGATGATGATAATCCCGTGGTAGCCATGGGTAGCCAATTTTCAGACAAACCAATGTTCTACACTGCATTTGGTTCCGTAGATCACCAGCAAGAATCAGTGTAGTATAGTATTTGGATGTACTTGGACATAATGGGGTGTTGTTTCCAACTTTGGAGGTTTCACCAAAAAACATATAGTGAATGAACCCACAAATGAATGCTTGATTGAATGAATGAATGCATGCATGACTGAGTGAACAACAGAAATAATGAATGCATGATAGTGTTAGATGATATTTGATAGACATTGATACATATGTTTTTTTGAATGGAATGATCGGGGTGCATACAAGATTTCTAAACTCTGGTTGATTAATTGGGGCGGGGGAATTTTTCATTTGGGCGATAAACTGTAATTTTTCATTTGGGCGTGACATTATATAAAACCGGATCACTGGGGAAGGGAATCTGGTCGGCGTTTGGCGCTTGTTTTTTTTGTCCTCGGTATTTTAGTCTACGTACACGAATCGGTGATTTCAGGGGTATCTACATATACCATTATTTTCCATCATGTACCTAGACCCTTAAATCTTACCTTTCAATATTGTATCCTTCCTCAAGTTTCCTCTAGTTTGTTGTTTTTTCGATGGTTACCTCACGTCACATGTCTGCATACATGGAGGTTTTAAAGTCCCATTCCCTTTTTATTAAACACCCCCATTGTATGGTCCCAAAGATGTGATTTCATTCCCAACTAAACCATGGTTTCTGGGGGGTGTTTAAGACTATGAGGAGGAAATTGTTTTTGTTGTATTATGTTGTTGGTTAGTCATACCCCATTTTAGATCCCACTAAATCCCACTAGATCATATTAAATCCCACATATGTAACGTATATACACATATATATATATATGTGTGTCTACTATAACATACTATATAGTACAATAATAGTAAGAATATATATATATATATATACATAATGTATATATACTATAAGTATATATATATACTGTAATATTTGTATATAATATTCATATACACATACATTCCCATGATCCTACTGCCCTTAGGATTGGTGCCCACGAAGTGTTGGTGAAGCCTCGCGAAGGAGCCAAAATTCACAGCCCCGCCTGAAGGGGTCTGATCAGGGAGTAAGATGTCGTCAGCCATACAGTTTTTACACTTTTTTTCTTTCACTGAAGTCATTGAAGTTTTAAGTTTATAATTTTCTAGGTTTTTTCCAGACACAACATGCACGAAGTTGCTCCAGTTGCTGTGAATCATGTCACCAGTGACGTCGTTCCAGGCGGCCTGGGTGCGTTTGACTTCGGCTTGGGCACTGAGTTGTTGGATGGCATTGATGAGGAGGAGCGCTAGCGCTACGGGGTATGTCACTGAACATACCCAGTTGGAAATTGATGGGGATATGGTAGGATTTTTGATGCTATGTCAATGTGCATATACATACATATATACATACATTACATTACATTACATTAGATTATATTATATTATATTATATTATATCATACTATATTATATTATATTATTATATTATATTATCATACATTACATGCATGTATATATATTGCTATACTCATACATATAATATATATATATATAAACTCATGTATATATATATATAAACTCATATATATATATATACATATTCTCATACATATATATATACACGTCATGTAATTAGTTAGATATGACACTTGATAGTTTTATGATATGATATGGGTATATCCAGTAATGCGAACAATCTAATTATGGCAGTTTGATGCAATTTGAAAAGGGAAAATCTTGTCATGATCAACCATAGACATTCTGGGGCCATATTATTTTCAGACAAGCCCATACCATACCTATGTGGGAATATGATTTGAATGGAACATATGGATCACTATCATTTGGTATAATGACTGTTTTATTTGGAAGTCAAAATCGTTCGATTCTCACATTGGGCACCGGTGGTCCCAAACGAGGCTGAGCGTCTTGAGGGACTGGGTCCTTGTGGGTTGGTCCCTGGCCAGGATGTATTTCGCCTTTTGTCTTGAGATGGATATAGAATTGTCACTGGGTACCCTCTGGTAATGACTAACATAGCTATTGAAAATCACCATTTATAGTGGATTTACCTACTATAGATGGTGATTTTCCATAGCTATGTTAAATTACCAGAGGGTACCACTATTGATCAGTGAAGCACCTGGCTGGTCAAAGAAATTTCTTGGTCGACCTTTGAGCAGCGAAGACCTGGCTGGAACATCCTCCATTGATGGTTTTGCTCTTTACTATCAAACAATGGATGTGTAGAAAATTGTGACTAGTAAAATGGGGAATGTTAAACATGCAACGTGAACGTACTGTGTCCTTTAGTCATATAGATTAATGGGTGTTTGACTACTGGACTGTACAGTCCATGACTTGGTGAGACAAGATCCACAAATTGTTGCTGGGGCCCAGCCGCCGTCACATGGGAAGAGAATTTTCAGTAGACAGTATCAGGTTGTTCTTCAAATGCCTATGTGGAGGTTTCCTAAAATATCTAAACTGGTGGTACCCCCAAATCATCCCAAATTAGACCTTTTTAGTATTGAAAACTTCTGGTTTTGGGGATCATCCATTTTAAGAAACCCCCAGGTGGGTAGGTCTAGGTCTGAAAATAAGGTACCCAAAGTTGTGTGGTTTATCATCATGTTCGAAATTTGCCATTTTGGAGGTACAAGGTGGTGTTCCATAGTTAGCTAAGTTGGTTTATAACTCCCATAACTATGGTTCATGGTAGATATAACTATAGTTACTGGGGTTTATAAACCAACTTATAACTGGGGGGCACCATCCTGTATACCGCCCATTTTCAGACACACCTTGTTCATCCCAGGAAATGCTATGATGTTCCCCGAAGACTCACATGTTGTCAGGGCCGATCAACTAGCAGACTGCCAGTCAAACAGCAGACTGCCAGTCGAGCGGTGTCTCATTTTGTCAAGCAGCAGTTGGCTTAACGTGAACATATCTATGTAATCCTATGTAATCCTACATATCTGACATCTTTCAACAGATATGGTGCTGATGTATTGTACTTCTCATATATATATATATATATTTATATATATAATATATGTAATTAATTTATTGGGATTTGACCACCCCAAAATCTGACAACCACCCACGGCCACTGGCAATCCATGAACTTATCCTCCAGGAACTGGAGCGCAAGCAGACCGCTGAGCGCAACAACGGTAAGCCCAGCGCAATTGGGGATAGGGGGCCCACGGCTTAACAAGTCCTGAAGTCCATGGGATAACAAATCCTGTTTCCGAAGGGAACAAGGGGTATTTCGGATCATCCAAGTGGAATTGCATTGAAATAGATTGAGTACATGTACCCAAGCTCACAACAAGAACATGCCTAGTCTTGGACCGGATGGTATGAGTACGCAACTAGCTGGTTGACGGACTTGATCAATCGATTCTAATCCCTTCTGAAGAGTATCTTAGTATGAGAACATATGAGAACTAAAAGTTATTTGACATTATATAACTTAAATGAGATTAAATGAGAGTTTAGTTGTAGTCTAGTTTTTTAGAGGAGACCCCAGTCCAATTGCCATGAATTATCTTTCAATGATCGCTTTCTAATGATTAATTTGTGCCGATTGCTAACAGTGTACAATTTGTATAAATCATACATATGCATATATGGAGATTTCCTATGATAGGGGGACTCCCAAAACATCCATTTCAATTGGGATTCTAATCATAAACCATCCATTTTTTGGTACCCCCTTTTAGGCAACCTCCATAAATACATATATATATATATATATATTTAAATACATATACATATTTATATATATATACATACATATGTATATATATGGATATATACGTATATATATATAGAGAGATACATATATATATATACATATATATACATATATACATACATATATATATATATACACATATATTTATATATACATATAACATATACATATATATTTACATATAGATAGATATATATGTATGTATATATTTATATATATGTATATATGTATATATAGATATGTATATACATATATATATATATATACATATATACACATATATATACATATATATACATGTATATACATATATATACAGATATATATATATATATGTATATATATGTATATACATGTATATATATATATATGTTTTTAAATACAGATATATACAGATAGATGTATACATATATATATATATTTACCTAATACATACATATACATATATATATATATATACAACTATCTATTTACATAGATATATACCATGACTTGTATCATCACCATTCTCAATGAAGTGACTGCCATGGAATTGCGAGGTCGTTTGGCAATGATCGCCATCATGGGACTCATGGTGCAGGAGGGGTGAGTCGAGGGCTATGGGAATTGTTGAAGATGTGGGATGATAATCATTGTGATAAGAACACGTAGATATATAATATATAATGATTGATATTACTTTCCTGTATATAAATAATTACATATTAATTAAATGTTAATGCATGAAATTATTATTTTCTTATCCAATGATTGAAACCAATCACCATCATAGTTGTGATGATAATAGGAATACTAATATACAATGTGAATCAATGTGGTAAACCCAATAATTAATTATCCCCAAAATGGTAGGTATCCCACAATAAAAAAATCATATCATAAGACTATTCCAAAACAATGATATTGATGATGATGATGATGATGATGATGATCATGATGATGATGACGATGATAGTGATAATAGCAATTACACTGATACTAATTATGATCATTAAACTGATATATATATATATATACACATAATAGTGACAATGATTCTAATAAAGCAAACATTGTAATCATGTTGTTGATGACGGGGTTGATAATTAGTTTGATTATTGTTGTGATTATGATTATGATAGTGATAATTTTAATCACAATAGTAGTAGTTGTGATCACATTGCTGTTGATAATTATGTTGATGATTGTTTTATCATTCTGTTGGTAAATTTACATTGTGATGATGATGATGATGATGATGATGATTCCTCATTTGTGGTTATTTCCATGAGAGAATTGTGATGTGCCACATTTGCGTATGGCTCAAAATGATTGACTCCCCCAAAGCCACCTACCATTGGTAATTCAACGTAGCAACGGAAAAACACATGACTCATGACCCATGTGTACATGATGTTGCCATCAAACCCTCGCGTCAAACCCTCTATGTTTGATTACAAAAGGTTTCCCAGCAGATTCTGTGACTGACCAGGATGGCATGTTCGGAGAGCCGCCTTTGACATACATGTCGAAGAACGGCTGGTGGGGCGAGCCGGTGCAATTCTTCGTTCAGCACATCAACAACTGCCAGTCACTTGGGATGTGGAACAGCTGATTTTCTACATTTTTCTGCATTTCCATTGGAAACATAAAAGAAGTGGAGTTATTTCTTCTTTGGAAGTGGAGGGATAAGTCCAAATAGTCGTTTGAACAGGTCTCGAACTGGTTGCATGTGAGGTAAAATTAGTTGGCCAAACAGATGTTTCAATAGCCGCAGGAATTGGGGACTTACCAGCCAGGTTAACCAGTGTTTTTCCTACTTGGAGGATGATGAATCCTCCAAGTATTGGCCAATTATGGTGGTTTAACCAAGGAAAAATATGTGGAAAATTTAAACATTTGAAAACTGGTGGTGAATGGCTGGTGAATGGCCTGAGGTTTCGCTCATCTCCATGAGGGTTTGGCGCAACGAAATTTCCCACTGGAAGGTATTCAGTGAGAGGTATGAAGTACCCATCAACATGTTGTCATGATATGAACCCAAAATTGTAATTGTTTCAAAAACAGATTTGGACCGGTTGCATGGTGCCTCACCCTATACACGTCCTAAGACCCAAACGGATAGACCTTGCTTTCTGGGATTGGTAAGCAAGCGGCAAGTGTAATCCACCGTAGCCATCCGTAGCCCACTTCCCAAGTAGCATGAACCTCCAAATTCAGCAGACATCATGTTCCAATGTTTGCCTCAGTACTGTATTCCTCATTTTTCCCTTATGTCAGCATATGTATATAATTATAAGTTATACTACGTGCAACCATACCAAACATGTCGCTTGTTTTCCCCTTGTCTCGGTTTGTTTACCCCCAGGTCCTTCGATGGCTCACCGATCCAAAACGGCAGCATCTGCGCCCTGCCAAGCCGCATTGGCCGAACGCAGCTGCGCGCGGTGCAGCAACTCAGCGAGGGACCCTATGTGGAGACGGAGACCTATCCCAAGGACGGGGACGGCACGCGCGGCGTGTCTAGCACCGAGTTGGCAGTTATTTGGGGATGGGTCAAAACCTATTTTTACCATATTTTCCATCAACCAACTATTTTAAGTACCTGGAAACTTTTCCGTTTGAGGAATCAGTGGGGAATATGTTTCTAGATGTTTCAACTAGCTCTTGCTTTGGTTGCCACCTACCAGCTCGATTCTGGGCGAAGGTTTAGGTGGAATCAGTTATATAAATTTATTGCTTTGGGAAATGTAAGGCGTACCCAGATGATCCATGTTTGGTAACATGTCAAATATACCCGAAATTATCATCCATTACCGTGCACCATACATGGATGGTGTGGGTAATGAGTTTGTCAATTTGTGTGGTTGCTAAGAAGTCAAACGGGGTGCTTACATGTTGGTCGCGGGATTATAATAATTTATGATCATGTATGTATAATATTGTATAATACAATATCATATAATATTATATGAATAATTATGAATAATTATGAATAAATATATATATATATATAATATATACACCGTATATGTATACGATAGTGAATATACGCATTGGTCCTTTGATTTGCATCCTTTGGGGACCACTGACGACCATCGTTGGTGAAATCCTGGGGCCTCCTTTTCTTGGATTCCTCGATGAACTAAGAGTCAGGATGTCACGGCATCGATAGAGTATTGTTTCCCAATGTGTAGAAAAGCAGACGGTATGGAATCAAGATTGAATACCTTCCAACAAATATAGCAGTGGACATTCCCCGCTTTAATAGATCGTCCACAGATGGGGATTGTCCATGAGGAGATCTGTTTGTTAGAATTCTCCATTGCTGTCTGAACATGAGGCACAATTGCTTCCAAAATGGCATCACACGAAGCTAAATATCATGGATGTTCAACAAACACCAACATGTTTGACAAATATCATGGATTTCATGGATTTTCAACCTGCATTTCCTGCATTTTATCAGGAAGTTCAGGCAGCGAGAACGCCGGCTTCAAATGGCACCCCATTTCGGCAGTGTCGCTCCGTGGCAGGAGATGGAGATGTCTGCTGCTGTGCCCTTCCTCCGGTACCCACAGGTGCGGCGCCGGCTTTGTCCACCAGAGACGACAAAATTCAGAGAGTAATGAACATATATAGGGCATGTGTAGATCATTCAAGTAGATTCATTTAATATAATTATACATGCACATATAACACCAATATGCATAATGACTATATATATATCAAGAGCAGCATAAAGACTCTATATATAAAGAGCAAATGTTTGAACATGAAGACATGAACACCATCAAATCATTGAACACCAAGATGGAAACCTGCCCCAAGATCTTGGACGTTTCACTCCCAGGCCACGGACAAAGCCCTGCAATGTTTCCAGCAGACTGTCCTTAAAGAATATGCAGTGAATGGTGTGTTCATTGTTGATAAATTAGATATAGTGAAGTGAAGCCCAAAATGTATTCAGTGTTCATCAGACTTGTGTGATATGAGTGATATGTATGCGCTGTGTAGCTCCTCATGTTGTTGTGTAGATATATCTTATGTTCCGATATGGTTCTTCAATTTGTTCGCCTTTACTGGCAAGAAATAAATCAAAAAACACATGACATGTGCACAAGCTTGATTGGCAGACCATGCAGCTGCAAAATTTTGATAGGAACAGCCACCAATTTCAAATGGCATGTGTATGCGAGTGGCTTTTCAATAATATTTCCATGTTTGAGTATCAGTGGGCAACGCACAAAATCACTATATGAGTCATATCCTCAAAATCACCACTTTTCTCCCAATAATATTGTTCTACCTTTAGTAATCAGACATGACTGGCTCAAGAATCCCTCTACGTGAATGTTTAAGCGGGAAAATCACCTATAAGTCTTGGATTCTCCAGCAAGCCATGTTTGAGAACCACAGGATATCCCAATTTTCCTCCATATTCCCATGATATCCAACTGAATCTCACCATGTTTGGGCTTCAGCCCAGCACAGTCGTCACCAGGTGCTGAAGGGCTGGGTGGGTGAAGAGAAGGGCTTCGATCCATTGGGCGTCACAGATGCCCTGCCGGTCTACTGGGTGCGCGAAGCCGAGCTGAAGCATGGCCGAGTTTGTATGCTGGCCACTGTAGGCGAGTATGGGCGAGTATGGGCGAGCCGGGCAAGGGGCCAGTAACGTATGACCTTTTTTTGTCAAAAAACTGCCAGGATGGGATATTACATAACAATACATAACAGTTGAAGATTAAAGTTTAAATTATATAATATGATATGTACATATATATATATATATGTTAGAGTATAAACGTTTGTCACAGGGCTAGGGGCTACTCAGAAGTATCTGTCGTCAACTAGTGACATTTCTGGATGCACATCCACGATGACACTCCAGTGGGGAGACAACAGCTGTTTGCTGCTGAAAGTAAGCAGCAACCATGTTGGTTCAATAGTCCTATCCTCTTGAGACTATTCAGATACAATTTAGCTCCAAGAAGTCAAACCAAGGTACATCTTGGTTGAGATGAGTCTGCTTGCTAATTAAGACAATGGAAAGCCTTGTCGTTGATGCAAACAACAGAATGGATGTAGATGGGCTGTTTTCACCAGGGATCGGTGAGGCAGCAAGGGGCATTGTTGTTTTTTCTACACCGTATGGATGTGTATATATATATATATACACGTATATATGCACTCTAGGATGTAGCAAACCCCCATTGTTGAGGGTTATCTAGGTAGCCCCCTTGATAGCAGGGTGTTGAAGATGATCTGTTGGGTCGTATGCATCCCTTCGATGTTCCCACGGTACCCCTATTTCATTGGTGTCTCGCCCTTTGTTGATGCTTACGCCAGATTGATCCAGATGATATCGATTTACATCCTATCTACAGTACCTTATTCAATGATGCAGATGATATCCATGTACATCATATGATATCCATTTAAATAATAATAATAATAATATTAATAATAATATCTATATATATATATATTATATCTAATATCTATATTATATTGTAGATATAATATATATATATATATTATATTATATATATTATTATGATATATAAACCATAGATTTCCAGATCCTATCCCCATTTTCGTTGGCTAAAGAAACCCATCCCGCCAGGCTGGATTGCCACGGATCTGGGCTTCCGCTTCCCGGGCGACAAGTTCCAAAGCGTGAGCAACGCCTTTGAGGTCGGGAAACGGGGGGAAAAACCAACAGGAATCTCGGAGAATCATCATTTACAGGATGGTGCCCCCCCAGTTATAAGTTGTTTTATAAACCCCATTAACTATAGTTATATCTACCATAAACCATGGTTATGGGAGTTATAAACCAACTTAGCTAACTATGGGGCACCACCTTCTACCCTCTGGTAAACATAGAAATAACTATGGTAAAATCACCCACTGCATTTTTTTATAGGTAAATCAACGAAATTTCGATGGCCATGTTCAATAGCTATGTTAAATTACCAGGGGGCAAATGATAATAGGGATATCCGGATATCACCATATTAGTATCTCATGACATAATCATTATTTCCACATTGGGAAACTATAGAAATAGAAATAATATGAAATAATCAGAATCGAACTGGAAATATCATGATAATCATCCGCAAATGGACAGTTTCATGGGGAAATGTGGGGATAAATTCATGATATAACCATCAACAAGTGGGGAAAAAGAAAAAGACACCATGAACAATAGGGACTTGTTTGGTGTTTCAAGGAAATGTTGAGATATTTAAACAGCAAATCTGGCTGGAGATTTCAAACATAGTAGAGTTAAGATAGTTAAGACGATTGAAGCGACAAACATTTTTTTATTTCATCCGCAAGAATTGCGGATTAGAATCAATAAACATGGAGACCCACCCACTAAATATCTCAAATGGGGCTTCACCAGTAGCTAAGTCCCGTTACCCTGGGGTAAACGTTTACAAAGATGTGAGAAGCATGATCTACACATGATTGTTGTTCCACCCCCCTAGCAGGCGCATGACAAGATGGTGGAGGCGGGTTGTTTGCTGCTAAACCCTTGGAGAATGGGGACATTGGGGACACTAAACTATAAATTGTCAATGTTCAATGGGAAAATCATCCTTAGATACCCCATTTAAATCATTTAACACTAATTTATATTCATTTATAGTGATTCTAAGCATCAAACATACGGGGACATTGATAACTGATGGTTGGTTGAAATGGTAGATGATTTGATCTTGGTTTCTGCCATGCTGCCTTTTCATTATATATACATATGTATATTGGGGATTATCCTCATCCATGAGCTGGAAATCCCGTTCTCAACCAGGTCTAAATGGAATCGCATTTCGGGTCTTGAACGCTGCTCAATCCTGCTCAATCATTCAGGGCGGAATCATGCAGATCGTCATGTGATTGTGACCCGGAAAGACACACTGGCACCAAATGAAAATACAATATGAAGGGCACATATACTGTAAGCCCAGTTTGGAATTGTTTGGGGACTTGTCACTAACCAAGTGAGTGTAACCATGCATGTGCGAGGTGGGAAGATCCTCCAAGTACGCAGCCATAATATATCAACAAACCCATGTAACCAATAGCTAATGGAGTTTTGGACTTCTCTTGACCACCTATAAGGTGTCCCCCCAGTTACAAGTTGTGGAAATAAACCCTATTAACTGTAGTTATATCTCCCATACTCCATAATTATTGGAGTTATGTTCACAATAACTTAGCTATTTAAAATCACCATTAAATCACCATTAAATCAGCATTAAGTCACCATTCCCACAGGCCAAGGGATTGATGATTTGCTGATGCCGGGAGCACCGGGGGCACAAGGGGCACCAAGGTGCACCTCTGCCAGGCTGGCTACATGCTTCCCTTCCTCGGCGCCATTGGCACCTTCGAGCTCTACGACCCTTGGCGTGGCGGTGGGAAACGGCAAAAAAAATAGGTAGGTTAACGTTTATGGCTTAATATAGCTAGATAGGGTTATGATCATCCGTACTTGTACCTCTATATAATGACCAAGTGGAGCCTCTATATAATGCCCGTTTGGGGCCCCATTATATAGAAGCATACCCTCGATTTAGTCCGTGCATTTTGAAAAGGCTACCTAGGTGGAACCAAGAAAAGCATTCTATAGGAATGTTGCGGTTCATGCTCGTTTGTGTTGACGGATTGTTCCTCATACATGGCGAGTGCATTCTATAGAGAGGAGATGTTCTGTGCAAAGTGGTTGCCATTTATCCAACATTTCATTTTATAGTGGAATGAACACTTCGGCATAAACGAAACATGTTTGTTTTGGTGCTGGCCCGAGGGGGGAGAGATGTTGCTGCAAGTAGCACATGAAAAGCTGAAACTTGATGGAATTGATGAAACTTGAATACAAATGCAAAAACACAGACACATGAAACACATTGAAACACATGAAAAGTATGAACATCTATTCATTGAACACATCAAGAAAGATCAATAAAGGATAACAAAGAATAATAAAGAAACATCTCCATGTTTTTCATGTTTACCCATTATTTTTCCATTGCTTTCCTAAAACCCTGAAGCAATCCAGAAGCCATGATCTTTGATTGTTGGCAGGTATAAAACTTGGTTATTATACCGGATGAGCATGGATGTTCAAGTGCTGAAGGAGGGTTTCACTATATTGCATTCCATAGAGACCTAGTTATTTCATTCTATAGTGATTTTTATTGGGCAACTCATTCTATAGCCAAAACCTCTCTACAGAATGACCCGTTCCACTACCTACCCTACAAGTACGGGCGATGGGTTATGTAATGTTATATATGAGATTACATACTATGTTAAAACCTATTGAAACTATCAAAGTTAGATATTATAGTTATGATTTCACTACTTCACTGTTCGGAAACCATGTCTTCGTGCAGATCTCCCCAAAAAAATCCGGTGTTGATCCGGTGATTCCATGTGATTTTGATGTTTCGACTGACGTTTGTCCCGTATCATCCAGACTGTGTACTAATAGCGTATAAATATGCTACCTTTATGCGCATAAAGGTCACAAAAAAAAAAGCGCATAAAGATCATAAAGGTCACTCTGACCAACATGTTTATACATTTTTTATTATCATGAATTATCAGATCAACATGATTATGTACCGCCGAGTTGCTTACTCCACTATGAATCTCTGCCCCCATTTGTATTCAATAGCCTCAGAAACCATGGTTAAGTAGGGAATTTACACATATTGGTACCATAGTAGGGGATGTATGCACATTGGGACCATAAATATGGTGGTATATAACATTGGGGGAATGGGAGTATCCATTCATATGCATCATTATTACTAATATCCCACGGTAGTTGGTTTAAACTATGTATATATATATATAGTTGATTGCTATACAGGCCATTGATATCCATAATCCATTGATATCCATCAATATCCGTCAATATCCATCGGATCGGACGAGTTTTTGTGGCATCCCATCATAGCTGCGAAGCTGCCGACGCCTGAGTCCCTGTGGCTTCTCTTCAAGGGCTGGGAGAAAGAGGCTGGAACTTTTGTTCGATTTTTCGCCCTGCTGGAAGTTGAGAAGGTTATTATATATATATATACAGGGATGAGAACGAGACGATGATTCTGTGGGAAACCCAATCCCATAAACCTATCATTTGGGGATCGTTTATAGAACCCCTTTTTGGTGATTTGTTTGGGTGGTTTAACCAGGTGGTTTATTGGGTTTACCACATTGGGGATGAGGAAGGGACAATGATTATAATAACAATGACAATGAACAACATGTTTGTTGGAAGAAGCATACAGAGAAATCAAGAAACATCAGCAACATATCTATAGAATGCTATAGATAGTATTACGAAGAACGATGGTAATAGTACTGATACTAATCAGTAGCCCTTCAAGCAATCCTGGTCGAGTAGTGGATTTATGTGTTCTGGGGTCCCATGTTTCCCATCTCTGCGGAATGTAACCGACCAACAACCCGAGAAACATATAGAGCCCGTTGAATGCAGTACAAACAGGGAAAAACATGGTGAGTAGTACCCTCTGGCAAGTCAACATAGTTCCGGGAAATCAGCATTTTGAGCAGCTAAATCATCGAACTAAATGGGCCACGGCTTCCAAGCTATACGTTGAATTACCAGAGGAGCAGACATCAACGCATAGCAGTGACCAAAGCCTCTCAAGATGGTTGCTGGTTGGCGGTTGTAGTCTACTTTACTTTAATGATTGTAAAATACGGGTTTGTCTGAAAATGGGCTATATACCTCAAAATACCATAAGTAAAAATCATGTTCCCATAGGTGAAAACTGCCATTTTGGGTATCACCCCCCATTTGAGACAAGCGCATGTCTATATTTATATAGTACAATTTATACATATATATACATATATATCATATATATATATATCATATACACATGTTATATTTGTGATTCACTACCCTGAATGATCAATATCCATCAAGACCCGAGTTCCCCAGCTGGTAGATCGAACCACTCCAGACGGGCGACCAGGTGAATCGCGATGCGGGCGACTTCTTCTTGGGCAAGCAGTTCCTTCCCAAGGTCAGGGGATGCCATCAGCTGAAGATCTACAGCTAACAGGGGTTCGTAAATGTCCCTTTTTGGGGATTTTGAACATCCCTGGCTAAAATATTTGTTGGAAATTATATCCCCAATACTTGGGTGATGTTCAATTGGGACATTTACCCCTGGCTAATGTGGTCAACCCAATGTCATAAATCATCCCCAAGTCATCTGCGTTTTTTGTCGGCGCTATGTTTACCATCCCAAGTCAGTGGTTTATGGCAGTCAGGCTTTCCCACATTGCAACTACCATCGCGGGGGATAGAAGTTCTCGTTGGGGCAACGTTCTGGAGATAGAGTCTATCCTTGCAGCTGAGCCACGAGCATCAAGGGTCTCAAGAGTCCATTCCTCCCACCATCCAGTTCAGTTTGCCTTGTTTGAATCTAACTTGCTTGTTCCATCATTGTTGCTTAGAACATCTTAGAACTGTTGGTAGCCTATATAATCACCATGGGTGCATCAATCACCCATGGTCTTTTGGGTGATCTTACATTTTGTGTGGGTGGATGCTGCCCAATTTCCTTACCCCTTTTATGTTCTGCTGAGTGATGTTTCTATTATTCTCTTGGGTATCCTAATCAAGTGGTTGCATTTGATAACAATCCGTTGCAAATCTATGTATACAAGTATACCCATACAATCACGTACATGTCTCTATATATATATTTGTTTTTAATGAAATACATTTTTATTTAACCAATTATCCATCCACAATCATACATATACTGCATATACAAATATAACATAAAGCGTGCAGCAACTCACCAACTCTCTCTGTAAAAGTCTCCGTGTGTGGCCGTTTTCAGGAGCCTGAGAAGGAGAAAGACATGCGTCTGAAGGACGATTTCCACAAAATCAACACAAGGTGGTGCCTTATACTTAGCTAAATTGGTTTGTAACTACAGTAACTAGGTTTTTATGGTTTTATGGGAATATATCTATCGGTAGATGGGTTTTTAAACCAAGTAAAATTGAACGGCCCCACCTTGCACTTGGCGTTAGCTTCTTTGTCTTTCATTGTTTTGTCTGGATTTGTTTGGCAGTTTTTCTAGAATTTGAACCGAAGATAAATTAATGCAATACCCAAGCGCATCAATTCATGATGTGAATCTTCATTTGTTTTACAAGATTCTGCCAGTCTTCCCATTCTTTATAGTTCCAGGAATTGTATTGTATCATTAGTCCACCAGGAAATTCCAGGAACAAATGCAGGAGTCGGAACCCCCCAATGATTGAAAAGGACGCTATCTGAAAAAGGCTGCTATAGTTAGAGAATACCCCTTTTGAAACGTTCCAATACATCCCGCATGATAAATATGACTAATCTTATAGGGACGAAATCCTATGGTTGATGATGGTTTTCCCCGTTCAGATGGCCATCAATTGGGGTGCCAACACATCTTACGCCTGATATGTTGGCACGATTGGACATAGAATGCTTAAAAGGAACGATGAGTTTCACTTGGGACACAACTGGAAAGTTTTTACGTGTTTGTCCAGGTCACAGGATGACATGGGACACGAGGCATTTGGATCATTTTGGCATTGACTTGGGATATTATATCTGAAAATTGCGTAGCCCAAAATCCCAGGGTCCCCCATATAGTTTTATTTGGGATACAGTGATATCAGTGGGATGTTCTGTTCCCAGTTCCCACATCAAGTATAGAAAACCCCATTGGAATGGCTGTTTCGTGGTTATATTTGGGTAAACCCCACATGACTAACAGTAATTTCATATACCCTCTGGTAATGACTAACATAGCTATGGAAAATCACAATTTTTCATGGGAAAATATCCACTATTTCTATGGCCATTTTCAATAGCTATGTTAGTTTACCAGAGGGTATGTTCGATCATTTGGGAGACAACCTGACACCATCTGACACCAGTTTTCGATCATTTTTGAGGGAAACCTATGGAAACCAACCAGGATATCTACAATGTGAGGCCCCCGTTCGATAGCTAAGTTGGTGCACATAACTCCAATAACTATGGTTCATGGTACTTATAACTATAGTTACTGGGGCTTATAAACCAACTTATAACTGGGGGGCCTCACATTGTATGATTATCTATGGATGTGCCAGGGTAAACCCTCTCGCATCTGGAGGAGCTGGAAAACGGACGCCTGGCCATGTTCGCCTTCAGCGGCATCGTGACGCAGGCGGACTGGAGGTGAAGGTGGTGCCAAACAAACGCACCGATGGCAACGGTGATGGAAATAATGGTTATATGATGGTGTTAATGAATGGTGATTAACCAATGATTAATACTGGTTAATCTGGTGAATACTGGTTCATAATGGTTACGGTTACTAATGATTAATCTTGAATATGCCCTATTGATGGTGATTAATGGTGATTACAGTGGTGGTTAATGGTTATCTCTATGTGTTTACCCTTCGGTAATCAAACGTGGCTGGCTGGGAACCTCAAACTAACTGGTGGTTTTCACTGGACATCCTAAAGGTTACCTTATGGAACAGTATGGGGCGTAACGATGCAATATACTGGCATCATGGAATATTGCTTAGTGGCGATGTATTTTTTCATATGTAATGAGACACTTGATGGCGATATACTGATACAATCGTTGAAATGGTGGATATTAAAGCGATGTGAATGGTATATTGGTTAATACTCTCTGGGAATTCAACCAGTACTATGGAAGCTATGTACAATGTACTGGCCCGTTTGGTTCGATGAAATGGTGGAATGTCCATATCTAGATATGGAGAGTAGTTTGATGGTTCCACTAATTCCTCATGTCATTTCCATATTATTTCCAAAGCATGTCCATATGTGTAATAGTTTGCTTAGACATATTTGATATCTATCTAGTTTCCGAAGATTTTCTCCAAACAAAGGGCTGCCTTTTCTCGAGGCTGCCATCACCGGCAAGACCTGGCCTTTCATGTAGGTTTGGCAGGCTCGGCTTTCGGAACATGGTGTCATACGTGGAGACTTTCCTACCATTTTTGGTGCCTTCCAGTGATGTGAACGTTGGTTTATAAGGCCCATGAATACTATACTTATATCATGTTATATCTACCATAAACCATAGTTAAGCCGGTTTATAAACCCCACTGACTATACATAAACCATAGTTAAGTCACTTAAAGTATCTTAAAGTCGCTTATAAGGCAACTTAGCTAATTATCTAACTATAGTTAACTATAGTTATTTCCAACATAAACCATAGTTAAGTTAAGCCACTTATAAGGCCACTGAACGCTATCGACTGGGGGCCCCATCCTGTCCTATGCTGGATAAAAAACCTCTTAAGATATGACGAAAGTCGGAAACGTCGGAAACGTGATGGTTTGAACCATGGGATTTGGGGCTTAGGGAATCGCTAGCAACAACGATATTAAGGGGATGTGTGAAATCCAATGAAATTCACAAAACAAAACATTTATCAACCTTTGATTTAAATGGGTAGTTGACCTTCCAAAACAACCTAAGGGTCTAAGGAAAGCTCTTTGTTTTCCTACGCAAATGTTCTACCTTCATGGTGGGTGTTCATGGTTATTCCACATCTAAGTACTTTCGAATTTTGAATTACTGTTTTTTTGTTTTGAAGGGCAATATGCAGTTTAATAATGTTTAATTAATCTGTTGCCATGCATGGGAATAAGTACTGACCAGCTCAAAAAAGCAGACGAGGTATTCAAATTTGGAAACGACATCGGGAATTTTGCCAAAAATAGGGATACTGATACCTCACAATACGTACAGTATCAATTGTTTACAGCATCAGGACTGTATCGAATGGTTTACCTTAAAAAGGGGGCATGGTTATCAAAGATTGGTGGTGTCACATCTACCCCCATGCGATAGCATCCTTTGCTGGGATGATATTCTTGTAGATATTTGGCGAGGTCCTAGTATTTTCATGTATTTTCTGGTCAGACTGGTCAGACCCACAATTTGATTGGCTAAATCCCCGATTTTGGTTGATCAAGCATGGATAAAATATGATACATGGATAAAATATGATAAGACTTAAATCGTTAGTTTAGTTGGTCAAATCACCATTTTGGTTTGAATCACCATTTTGCTCGGTTCGATTCGGTTCAATCCCCATTTTGGCCACTTTGGTATCACCATGTTTATGTCATGTTCACATGGTTAAATCATCCCAATTGTTGGAATGCTCCTGCAAGTTTTCCCGTGGGGCCAAGGTCTTAAAACAGCTGCAGCATGAGTTCAGCTCAACTCCATCACTCCGTTCTGTGCCTCGGCCGAGTAGTTGTTAATGGTGGTTAATATATGGCGGTGTTAATTGTCAATCGTCGCTTTTTCGTGGTTGGATAGTGATCAGGTCTCCCAAACCCATGATATTACTAGAGGAAATATCGGATACACCGGAAAATGACTCTGTGACAACAAACTACATGAACTGATTGAAATGTATACCTATGAGCCTAGGAGCCAAGATTGGTTGGCCCAAGATGTGGAATGAAAAGGGCAATGAGATCGTTGAATTTCTGGGGAGCCTTGAATTTGGACCCTACCATTGTTACATCAGTACACCCTTGTCGTTGCAGGTGCTAAATCCAGGCTTCCGTTCTCCAAGGTCAGACTACTATGGTGGGCCCAACACCTGTCGATTTTCACGCCAACCAAGAACAATGGAGTTTGCCCCACACATAAAAGTGTTTCATGATTTATACACATCAACCCTGGATTTTTTAGATTCGTAACCACACATTTTGATGCTTCACCTTCCCCTGTCAGTGGGGGCTTCAATAAATATCGAGTCGCCTTGCGTTGTGTCCAGGACTTTTTGATGTGGAGGAGCTGTTCCAAGTTGAAGCTGAAAAGTGTTTTTTGCGCGACTTGGGGACTTGGTTGTCCAAACATGGGGATAACGGGGATAATGCCCCCCTACAATGTAGCCCTTTTTTTACTGGGGAACGAGGATGATGCGCATCAAATTTCGGGTGAAAATCTCTCCAGATTTTGCCAAACATTGTGGATCCCGATTAAACATGGCATGTTGGGAATTGGAATGCTTGGCAGAGATGCGGGAGAAGCTCAGTCGTAGCAACAGCTTCATTTCTGAGACATTCTGGGTACCTCATCCGGAAGAGGACAACCCCTTCAAATTCATATTGCACACAACTATGCATATATGTATGTAGAATACACTGTACATTTATATACATGTGTATATTTGTATATCTAAATATATCTAAATATGTACATACAATTATACAATTATATACAATTATATACAATTATATCAATTATATACAATTATATACAATTATATACAATTATATACACATACCAGTTTTTCACATATATGTAGAGTATATATTGTTTATATATATATATATGATATGTCCATTTTGGTCGGATGCTTAAAATGCGGCACTTTTTTGAGTGTTGGCAGCTTCATGGGTGGCTGCAAAGGTTGTCGGTGGTGAATAGGATGCAAAATCCCATGACATATCCCCATCATATTCCCACTTATGGATACTTATGGTTGGTGTCTTACCCATAAACCATCCATGGCTTCCATGCCGGCTCTCTATTTTTGATTGCGAAGACTCAAAAATGCGGACTGTACATGGAATGGCCACAATCCAGTTTCAGCAGCATGTTTTCCAAATTCAAACGCTAAACATGATCTATTGAAATCCATGTGATTAGTTATTTCAATTTCATTTACTACTTCAGGTATTAGCTGCAGTTCATTTGCTACATTCTATAGCTAGATTACAGAACTAACGATAGATGTTGCCTTCCCGTTGACTGATACCTGGCATGCTGGTTGCTTAAAATTTAGCGCATCAAACTTGAATTCGGCAACCTCGGGTCCTTTGTGCCTAGCATAGCCTAGTATGACTATAATTTCAGAATGACTTGCTTATATCAGAATTGTAAAATTCTTTACTTGATGTGCATCACAAGCACTTAGTGCTTAGGAGCCCATACAATATGTATAATTGTGCGCATAGGGAACAGGAGAAAGCTTCCCACTTGCGATTCTGTGAACCAGCCAAGAGGAATGCACATCCAGTTGTCAGGTGTAGCTATTGAACTCAAAAAAAAACAGGAGATCATCCAGAACTGTGGCAATCTCCTGGCGGAGCTCAGCTCCATCCCCCAATTCTAGATGATCTACCCAATTTTTCTGAGATGGGAGAGAAAGATGCTAAAATTGCCCATCTAAAGAATATCAAGGACCTAATGTTGGTATATTTTGATAGGGTCCAGATTTGATCACCAGAGAGTAGTCATCAAAAATCCCACTGGTGCGCGGCCTGCAGCCAGCAGCTCAAAGACCGGCAGTCGCGACAGCAGCAGATTGTACCGAAGAACCATGGCTGCTCGCGTCGTCACGGGGCACAAAGTTCGCGGCGGGTTGGTGGACTTAGTTGATGGACTTGGTTGATGATGTGGATTGACTATGATTATGAACTATGAAACATAATGATATCACAATTATCATAATTATGAACCATAATAAATATCATAGTTCATTATGTTGAATAATTATGAATCATAACACATAACCTCACGACGATCAATGATACGTACAGCTTCCCATCAAGTTCTGGAGGTTTCGGCAATAGAAACGATCCGGATTTCCATCAGCCAAAATGGAACACATTAAACGCCATGAGTTCGGGAGAAATTTTCAATTCAACTATCAGGGGCTTCAACTATTCTGGATTTAAACAATATAATGATTTTGTTTATTAATTTGTGGCAAGCTCATGGCAAACAAAGCTCTGTCAGTGATGCTACATGTTGGAGCAAATGTTAAGAAGGCCTTGAATCAATACAGCACAAGTATCCACTCCTGCTAAGATCCAAGTCCAATGCGATTTGTAGAATGAATCATTAAGGGAATCCCTCAGCCAATCGAGCCAATCCTCTATTGATATCTGTTGTCAATACAACCTTTTTGTTGTTAGACCAGCCTGGTACTGGTAATGTTCATTTTTCTTCCGTCTTTGTTTGTAAAATATTGCGGAATGAAACATCTTGGAATAACCGCTCACCTTGATTCTTTTAATATTATCAACATCGACTTCGGAGGACATCAAGAAATCTTGCTTGCCATGATGCCATGTGTTTATTTTCCAATATGTTACATGATTCTCCTTTGTGAAATCTCCAGATTCGACCCTGGATTTTGGACCGTGCTCCCATCATGTGCCCTTCTTCCTCGACCGAGTCTCTGAGTCTCTGAGTCTCGTTCTAGGCATCGGCTACGGCCTTGGCCCTCTCCGCCGGCAGCTGCATGGCATTTGTGGCACCAACTGCACAGGACAGTAGAGTCTAGAGTGATTTACATGGGGATATCTTGTGGGATATATGATGACATATGGGATGCAGCGGGTATAAGACATAATAATACATGATAATTGATTATATATCATTGATATGACATGATACTGTATACGTTTATGTTTATGTCGGGACAAAACGTCCTGGAGTCAATTTGTGAGTCTTATTTTGGAGGTTTTGACTCAGAATTAGAGGGATCAATACTAATTCAAATGCAGAATTGAAATCGGACAGAATCCCTATGTATATATATATATATTAGTACTGACAGACATACATGTCCAGTATTGTGTATTTAAGAATCCATTCCTGTTTCCTTCGGTGATATTTCCCCTGTTACTCTGTTACTGTGGCAGGTGGTCTCAAAGATGCATTGGATAGGCAGCAATTGACCTCAGAAACCTGAAACTCAGGCAGTTCAAAAGCATCGGATCTGGGTAAATTATAACGACCTCACTGCGACCGAACCCTGGAATCATGGTTAATAAGGGAAATCATCCCAAATGGCTGCAAGATTCAGGTTAGTGAAATATTATAATTTACCCAGATAGGATCAAATCTCAAGCCGCACACCCAGTTGCATCAATAGGTGACAGTCTTATCAGGTTTATCAAAGTAATATCACCCAGTGTTTTGGTGGACAAAGTGACAAAGACCTGTTAGTAATACTTATTATCGAACAATATTATTGATTCACACAACCCATGTACCTTGCCTATGAACATACTCATCTACAGTAAGTGTACATATACGTGCACGGTACCCTGATTGAAACATTGTGTCAAGCTATTTACCCTTATACTATAAGCCCCTATCTTGAGCCACACTAAATCACACCAAAATTATTCACTCATACCAAGTTAGATTTTATCCATCCAGACCAACAGATTTCCGTATCGTATCCCTTTTATAAACCAGCAGGACTCAACATTATATAGTATTCGTACCAACTAGTTCTGCTTAATAAACCACAAAATATATGCGTATAATTGCATGTATAAATATATAATACTATATAATGTAAAGAACTATAACAACATGTATATATGTATTTAGATATATATGTATATATTTATACACTACATTATATATATATAGTATGTATATATATAATGTATGTATGTATAATTACATACTATTCCTTGATGCTGCTATATTACTATGTTTTTAATGATCTTCATGCTCACAACTACCCCAGGACAGCTCCGTGGGCCACCTGCGCGCTGGCCATGGCGCCTCTGCCCCCAGTGCTCCCCGCTCCAGCGGCGCCATCGGCGGCATCGCGGGGCTCACGGCAGTGGCCACGGTGGGGCTGGCGGTGAGCAGCCGCAGTGCCAAAGCAGGACCCCGTTCTCCGTGGCGCTGGGCGATTTTTTGGAAAAACGAAGAAACATGTGGGTCTCATCATGATTTAACCGGCAAAAGTTGTGTTTGACCCACAACAAAGATGGGGTTTGATCATCAAGATTTGGGTTTGAATATGTTTGAATGTGCTTTAACCACACACACAAGGTGTGTAATATTGTGTAATTACAGTACGTATAAACATGTATAAACACACATCAACAGTACTGATAGTATGGGATGGTTTCCCATGATGTAGATTTATTCAACTAGCAAGTACTGTAGAAGTGTAGTTGAGCTATTCCTTATTCAGTTGATTTCTTGACACTGACCTCGCCTCGCCTCGCCTGACCTTATCCGACGTCGTGAGGCACTGCCCGAAGGGGCACCGTGGGTGTTTGCTTGCCTCTGACGGACAAGTTCGATCCCTTGAACTTGAGCAGCACAGAGCCTTGTGCAGTGATGGTTACCCAACTGGCCAAGCGAAAATGCCCCAGAACATGATGGGATTGGGGTAGGGGAAATCATAATTACATATAATTACTATGGCCTTCAACTTGTTTCTTTAGGATTTGTGACAGGTGATCAAGATATCGATTGGATTTCACAGGCCAGAAAGATGGGAGATGATGGGAGGCGCGTTATTTCCTACTATATACACACATAAGATTGTAAATAATTAAATAATATTAAATATGAGACTTGTTTCCCTTCCAGTGCTTTACAGCAGACCAGCTCCGGTGTATATTGAGCTACACTTTGCCACATCGGGAGTTTAACCAACACTTGTGGGCAAATCCTTCAACAGCGGTGACATCATGTCAGACCGGACTCCAATTGCAATTAGACCTTCTGGATATCCATAAATATGTGATGATACTGTGATATTTAAACACGTAGATCCAAAAGTTATTTACTGATCCGAGGCTTGTTAACGCAGAACCTTGCGGTTCGAGGGAACCATATGTTACTGTATATGTATGTAATTATACATAATTATCTATATACGCATATATATATATTATATATGTATATATATATATAATTGTATATATATATACATATACATACATCCACATGTTGTGACCCTTAGTTGAGCCCTAAACATGGGTACCCTGTGATAGTTTCACATAGCTATTGAAATTCGCACCATTTTTTTTCATAGCTAAAGCATCAAAGTCAATGAGCCATAGCTTCCATAACTATGTTGGATTACCAGGTGGTATTAACCTGGATGTTCCATATATGGATTAATTAACCATGGTATCAACATTAGTTAACATTTATCCAACATTAACATAACACATCAATGTTTCATTGACATCCTGTTTTCATGTTCCATGATACTTCCATTCTATCCTCATCATACCATCATACCCGCCTCAAAAAAACGACACGTATCGAGGATGCCAAGATGGACCGTTACACCCAGGTGGAGATCAAGCATGGAAGGCCGCTGTTTACCCTGCAATGAATGCCTGAATGGGGACACTGATGAATCATGAAACTTGGGGTACCATGGGGTAAACGCGTGGAATGTGGTAAATCCAACGCCACAAACCATCCTTTTGGAAACTGTTTGTTTTTATCTCCCCAAGTATTCGCCCCCAGTCATAGTCATAGTGTGCAATCAAGGGATACCATGACCCGCCAAACCCGCCATTGATCCCTGCGACAGGGTAGCCATGATCGCCACCATGGGTTATATCATGCCAGAGCTTTTCCGATTTCCTGGCTGCGAGGACGGATGGGTCGTATTTTGACTGAACTCGATTGCCTGCCACAATATAGTAATATGATGCAATATGTAATGACATCTAGATAATGTAGATACATGTGTGTGTTTGTTTACTTATGATAGATAGATATATATATATAGATACATTTATATTTAATTAATTATTTACGAAATGTAATCATGATCGATATTGGGTTGAACCCAACCATTTTGGAAGACATACGGACTATGTTTGCTGACCAGGTACGATTTCTGGAATGGTCAACAAGTAAGGGTATGACTACCGGCGAAGTGTTGGATGTTTCAAACAAACCTCACTGTGACAAAACGAGTGTCACTCAAGATAGTTATTGTTCAATCACGTTCATTGTTCAATTTATTTCATGTGTGACATTTACTGTATGTGAGATCTAATTAAACACATGGATACCCTCTGGTAGTTTAACATAGCTATTGAACATGGCCATAGAAACAGTGAGTTTTCCCATTAAAAGTGGTGATGTTCCATAAATGTCACAGATCTCCTGGTGGGAGCGTCCGGCATCCTGTGGATGGTTGGACATGGTTGGACCGTTGGACGATGGATGTGTGCTGGTAGCTATATGTTTCATCTAACTACAGTCACAAGCATTCAACAAATGAATGTGCAAGTAGATGTAAAACGATTGGAACAATGCAGATACTGACGCCTGGTTTGACCGAGACGGTACTGTTGAAGAGAACGATTTGGTTCACCATTAAGCTTAAAATTCGAAACAGATGAAGTATGAAATAGAGCTCATAGCGAAGAAAATTGACAAGGTGGAAGACCGCATGAAGCAAAGTTGTGTAATGCATCTCCGACCCGATCTGGGCAACAGAAATATAAATTCATACGTTGAAAGCCTTGTAGAAATACAAAAGCAACATGACCATCAAAGGTTTTTTTTTTGTGACGCAGATGCTGATAAGGTGTTATTATACGACAGGTGTATCAACATCAGTGTTCACATCAGTGTTCATGTTATTTTTACCGGACAGACAAATGCGAACAGGATAAAAACTAACAACCTTAACAAAAAAGGAAGTGGAAAATCAGCAGAGGTAGGGCCTAGCACACTTTAGAGGACAATTACCACTGAAACTGCATAGAAAAGACATCAATGGGTGAACTTGTAATGCCTTGAAGCCTATAGAACTGGGCAAATGGCAGCACAATATTCCCGTATATCAACTTGTATCATATATACATTTATGGAATATATACACAGCTATAGATACAGATACTTAGAACGATACTAGATAATCAAACAGGTAGGTAGATAGATTAGATGGGATCATTTCAGATTTGGATTGAGTTGTTTTTTTTTTTTTAAACGTGTAACTCATCGTATAGATATTGTATCCAATACAAAATAGGATAGTAATGATACTTATATATATATATACATGATAATATCTACAGATTCACTTAGAATAGTGATCAAACCAATGGACATCTATCTGTATTCCAAATCAATCTTGACCAGTTGTCAATTATAGTCAATCTCATATAAATCATTTAGATACAAAATTATAGCAATGTTTTTATCCAATAGATCCGATAGCCATTTCTTGACCCCATCCATCGCCATCGGCCGCTGGCAGTCCTTTCAGCACGGTCTCGGCGCCTTTGAGTCCATTCCTGTGGAGGGCTGGGTGCAGTTGGTGGCCTTGCACCTTGGACATCGGATGACAGTGATCGAGAGGGCGGTTGAGTGGGTGTCCAAGGAATGGATATAATGATGGATATATATATATATACATAAGGTATATATATATACACTTATATATATATATATATATATATACACTTATATATATATACACTTATATATATATACACATAGTATATTATGTATAATTATGTATATATATATATACATAAGATGATATGATCAATGAGAGAAACCTGGGAATCATGGGCAGATTTAGCCCAAACATAGATGAAATAAATAGAAATACCAAGGGGATATCCAATAAGAATGGGGATTGAACGCAACGATAAGTCGGGAAAGCAGGGATATAATGATATAAACGGATATGCTGTCGTAACCAGCAGTATGATTTTTGGCAATGGTATAATTTTAATTTTACCGGCACACCAGAAAATCGTAAGTTTAAGAAGGAACAGATGATGTTTTTTGGGCATTGAGGGTACGGTACCTCATTGTCAGATGCAATTGTTTTTGGGTGATCATTAAACCCAGCTGTGAAGATAATTTTGGTCCATAATACCAGTCAAGCCGCGGGGAAATCTCTTTGGATTTTCACTGATTTGAGTTGGTTTGACCAACCAATCACAGTGGGTGGATGGGGTAAGTAAGGGCATCCGTTTGTAAGACATGGGGATATTTGGAGGTTCTTCCTTGAAATCAAACGTTTGTGATATGCCCTATTCTCGATATGCATATGGGCTCAGACCCCCCACAAAGTGGATGGGGTAGATGTAAGTATCACAGAGATAGGGTGCATCATGCCACGTGATACTCAATCATTGGCTCATACTCCCCCCATGAAGTGCAACAGATGAAGCTGTCCTTACCTTTGTTCTCCTTTATTTTGGGGGGAACAGTTGAAACCCACCCAGGATGTCTTGGCAAAAAATCTAGATAAGTTGAAACATGTTCCAACCCAAGTCCTTTTTCTGTTGAAATTCACCATTTGTCACCAATAGACATCATATACTGTATACGTATACATATGTATACATAAATATATATATATATATATATATATATTAGACACATACATATACATATGTATATATATATATACATATACATACCTACATATAATACATATATATACACATACATATGTATTTATGTGTATACATGTATATATTTTTGTATCTGTATATGTATGTATATACATACATATATATATATATATATATACATGTATATTTACATATATATTTATATACACATATATATATACATATATATATATATATACACAATATACACAATATACATACACATAATAAAAGGGATGCACCCCAAAATCAATGGTATATCATGGTTTTTCACCTTCCCCATTTCCCTGGCCGGGGTATCCCCCTTCAGGGTGGGTGCCCATGAAGTCTTGGTGAAGCCACGTCAAGGCGCCGGGAGATTGTTTCAGGTTGTCCAGTGGTGAGATATGATACCCTCTGGTTATGTCAAAATAGCTATTGAAAATGGCCATTTATAGTGGATTTTCCCATAAAAAAATGGTGATTATCCATAGTTATGTTAGTTTACCAGAGGGTATCACAACCAAGCAGTTCATCCGATTTCATTGACCCATTTTGTTTTTCTTGTGAATCCCATGGTGCTTTCCACTTAGCGAATGGTAGAAACAACCCAGGATAGTAAGTCCCCGAATTGAAGTTATCCTATGCATATGTAGTCTACAACGTGAACTGTTAAAATCCTACTTCTCAACCAGTTGCTTTGTGGTTGAGTTTCTTCGGTGTATGTACGTATTTATATGTACATATATATATATAATATTCATTTATTTAAACACAGCTACAAACACTTACTCACTAATCAATTGCTAGTTCAGTTACGAGCCAGTTTCTAGTTGTTATAACACTGACATTCACTAACCATATAGTGTACCCGCTTGTAGTCAAACGCAATGGAAAATCCCCATATCGATGTGATTGTTCATTCAAATGGAAATTTATCGAGGATTTCCTGGCAGCCATTATGTGGATTCTGAGCTTGAAAGGTATCAACCAACATTCCATCAATATTCCACTATATCCCCATTATATATATATATATTATATAGAGATATCTAACCATATTATATATGCCCATTCTATCCCCGATGTTTCCCCCATGATACCACCATTTGTTGGTGAAATCCCCATTTTTCTTGGTGAAATCCCATGATTTTCCCATGGATTTCCCACCGCTTGGTTCGAAACTCCACGGTTTTGCAGGTGGTTTGGGCCCATCGGACTTCGGCCTTGGCACTGAATTGCTGGACGGCATTGATGATGAGGAGAGCACCGGCAACTAAAAATGGCAGGCCATCAACATATGGCATGTTAAATTATGTATGATTATGTTACATTATGTTTGATTAAATGTGTATTTATTTGATATATTAGCTATTTGTTTGTTGAAACACACTGTGTATATATATATATGTACATAAGTATACGTAGATGTACATTTGTTTAACACCTGGCAGTCAGAGATACAACATCCTCAACATACCTCTACACCGATGGTTGAGTTCCTGTGATCAATCAGAATTTGGGACTTCAGCGATCAAATTTAAAGATGGAGCGGGTTGGTAGTTCCAGGGTCATTAAACCTCTACTAGAGGTCCTGGGAGTACGATCGGAATGAAACGATGTGGACAGGGGTCAAGAATCAAGCCCAATGAGCCATAGAGCTTTCTCAATTTCAAGAGAGAAAACACATTCTTGATACCAAAGTTTGACCTATACCAATATGGCCTCAGCACAAACGGGTTTATGGTTACTTTTATGGGTTCCATCAATGATTCACAAACCAACCAGGTTTGGCATGTTGAGACATGATGGATATAGACACCGTGTGGAGGTTTCCTAAATTGGGGGATCCCCAATTGCTGGATTGTTTATGAGGGAAAATCCGAAAATAACATGGATGATTTAGGGGTACCCCTATTTCAGGAAACCTCCACATAGGTGCCTCCTCTGGGTACCGATCCGGATTCGTACTTGCCATCAGTATTTTGCAATGTGTTGAGAGTATGTGTATGGATGTGAATAGACGTGAAACCTGTAAGGCCCACATGTATGTAGAATATATTCTGACATATGATGTGATTTCGTTTAATGAAAAATGCAAAGGTAAAGGAACAATCATATATATATATATACTGTACATTGTATGAAGGTACAATTTTCTATAATAATAACAGACACTACTAGTACTGTTAGTCTGCAAGAATCGCCAGTTGTCTATAATAATGGTTTCCGAATCTTATCATTGTCAATAGATGTCAATAGTGAATGTTGAAACAATCAATAGATGTCAATAGTGAATGTTCAAACATATCACAACAAATATATCATCTATTTTCATCTACAGTAGTTACTCTTTATTTTTCTGATTATTAATTCTATTTCACCTTCATTTGTTGCCGGTAATTGAACGCCATGGAAAGTATGGCCCATGTGATGATTTTCCATGGCTATGTAGGTCATCACCAGAAAGTACAGGAGCTGGAACGCAAGCAGACTGCGGAGCGCAACAACGGCCACTCGGCGAGTGGGCTTTTTCACACTCCGAGGATGGGAGGGGACAGTTTACCACAAAAGTTCCTTTTTGTTAGTGGTAAAGCTATGTAGAAATCAAGATGTTCTGTATGTGTTCTTTAAAATCACTCCATTGATAGAAAGCTCCAGATGATTTTATGAATGATGGATGGTAGGGGGAACCAGCAAGACACTCTCACAACTTTAACCAACATGTCTCAAGGGGTTTGAAACTACTAACCTCATCATGATATTAATTCTTGGTTTCATCCGATCCAGTCCACACAAATGATAGTTGGCAGGGAACCCCCCAAAACGACTTTGTTTCATGCTTGTCAACTACTCTATATAGCTGGCCAGATTGGTGAATAGTGACTTTGGTCAATGGCAGATGTTCGAGGAACATGACTTTAACAGTTTGTGAAAAAGTCTGAGATGTATTGTAACCTCTCAAGGTGAGCCTTTTTGACTGACCCTGATTTTTCCGATCTTTCCGCCTTGCAGTACAGTAGCCAACAATAGCAACAATCAATGTACAGTATGATTGTCCCCATGACTCACACAGATTCAACTCTCCGGAAAGAATGGGATGGCCCTGGGATGGCTTAGCAGGCTTAGCAGGCTTAGCAGCCGAGGTCGTTTGGCCATGATTGCCATCATGGGCCTGATGGTGCAGGAGATGGGTCGGTACCCGATGGTCCTTTCGAGAGATTCAGCGCTTCACTTTCTGCGATCTTGTGGTTTAGCACCGGGTTGAAACATGTTGAAACAATTTCATGAAAAACAAATGAACACACAACAATAGCAGTATGTTGTGAGAGACGAGGGTTTGGTTAAAGTCATGTCCAACGTTTCATGGCACTGCCGGAGTTTCGGACCGAACACTTTCAACTCATTGGACACACACTGTTGAACTCAATGATGTCCGTTAAAATTGACATACCTAACAGAGATTATGAGTGCCAATAAACCCCCAAACCATCTAAACAACAACGCGGGAACAGTCCCATTTTCGGTCCAAGAAGGTTTAGAGCAGCAGAACGACCAGCGATTTTTGGGACACAATCCACCACTAACTCAGGTGGTTTTTTTGCAACCTGTGAGAAGTGGAAAACAACATCAATCTTTCAGCACTAGATATTTTGTGAAGTTTGGTGCCTACCCAACCCCGAGTGACACCCAAGCTGTATGGGTATGGCTCAAAAATGGGGCACTACTTGGGCTTTTTTAGTGTTTCACCGTCCAAAATGATGTTGAATGATGATGAGCATTTTTAAGCCATACCCAAGTGTGGTTTATTTTTAGATTTTGCGTCATTAAAATTGTCGTTGATGGGGGGTCATTTATCTCTGAATTCAGGACGGCATGTTCGGAGAGCCACCTTTGACTTACATGTCTAAGAACGGTTGGTGGGGCGAGCCGGTGCAGTTCTTTGTGCAGCACATCAACAACTGCCAGCCACTGGGATGTGGATGAGCCATACCCCCTGGTTTTCTCACATGGCCAACTGGGAAATCCCAAGTCTTTATTGGAAAATTACTTGACATGCTTAGATATTTCATGAAATACATATATAATCATATATACATGTATTTCTGATACATGTATTTCTGAATCTCTATGTATTTTGTAATATCATATGTAGATGTAGATGTAGAGGTGCGCATCCGGCTTCCGCCGTGAGAGTTTCGCAAATCTCAGAATTCGTGGCTCCATTTTTTATCCAGACCTTGGAAGCCACTTATTATTGGTCGTTGTGTGCGTTACCCCTGGAAATTCTTAGCTGCGGGTAACAACCCCATTTTGTTTGTAAGTCCCACATCTAAGCTATCTGGAAAGCTACTTGGGTCGCCGAACTAGCCTTCTCCTAGCCACAATCTGGTAGAAAGAGGTAGTCAGAGTGTTCTCATATGAGGAGTTCGGGAATGCTTACCTACCTGGTGCCTTGAAGGGTAGGGTAGTGAAAGTTGTCAATCTAGATGATCGTTGATCATCCAAGTCAGAAAAGAAGGAGGTTTGCTTCATAGATGCCGCAGATCAGCAAAACAACAACTCATCTCAGGATCTCAAGTTCGTCCATAGGGCTCATAACCCAACAAAGCCACCCTGCATCATTTGACGATTGTCCCAGTGGGGATGGATGAATGGGATAGTCATCGACGTCATCGTTGCACATAAACATGTTTGGAATTATATGGAATTATACTATTTTATATTATCTTATATATTATTGTATCATATCATATCATATCATATCATATGTTGTTATATTATTGTAATATACTATATTATTTCATATTATCCTATATTATATTGTATTTCACTATAATATGTGTTCTTATTCTTACATCTATATCCACCACGTTTACTCCACACGTCGCTTGCTCTAGGGTACCCCTGGTCCCATGTTGGTCCGGGAAAACGATGGAAGCTGATTTGATAAACCCAGTGATAGTTCTCACATGTGGGGAACATGATGATGTTTCCTCTGGGATTGTACCCTCTTTTCTAACATAGCTATTTTGAACATTTTTCACATCACGCTTTTTCATAGCTAAATCATCCTTTTGATCATCTAGAAATGGGCCATTTTCCAATGGATTTTTTGGGGTTCCATATTTTGACACACCCCAGGTCCTTCGATGGCTCACTGATCCAAAACGGCAGCATCTGCGCCCTGCCAAGCCGCATTGGCCGAACGCAGCTGCGTGCGGTGCAGAAACTCAGCGAGGGACCCTATGTGGAGACGGAGACCTATCCCAAGGACGGATGGTGAAGATGAGTTCATTTAGAATCGTAATGGTACAGTACTGTACATATATATATATAATATTACATAATAATACATAATTTAGAATGATCATGAATGATACAGTACTGATAGTTGACCCTCGCTCAACGATTGGAGATGCCTGCAAGACACAAGAGATGGAACCGTGGAAAGGCATTGGATGCCCTATGGCCATTGGAACTTGGAACATGATTACCCACACAGTATCACTTTGGGTACCCTCTGGTGAACTAACATAGCAATGGAAAATCACCATTTTTAATGGGAAAATCCACTATAGATGGCCATTTTCAATTGCTATGTTAGTTCACCAGAGGGTACCCATTTTCTTAGACCCAGATAAACCAAGGAAAGTAAAGCTATATACAAAAAGTCCATGAGATTTCATCCCTGTATCCCATGGATTCTCATTGCTTGTCATGTTTTCTCCATTTGTGGGATCGGATGTCTATCCCGATTGTATTCCCATTTTGTCGATGTATGGTTGTTTAATATTGTTTAATGATCAACTCAATTATTGCTGGCTAAATGATTCTATTGATATTCCATTGTTTACTGTATCATGTTATGATTTTTATGTGTGATGTTTATGTGTCCTGTGTCCCATGTTCTGTTCCCCATGTGATATTCCTATTATACTTTCCATTATGTTCCCATGCATCAAATCACAACACGATGGGACAAGCTGTTCTGACATCACAAGACGTTCTCACCAGGAGATGGAGATGTCTGCTGCCGTGCCATTCCTCCGATATCCTCAGGTGGATTTCGGAACTTCGGGCGGGCGAGAAAAAAAGGGTATCTCTAATAATTTGATAATGAGGCAAACCATCATCAACCTACCGGGGATGTTATATATATATAGATATGCATACAATTGCATACACCAGCTATATAACATCATGATATAGTGGGAACAAATATAATGCGGATAACCAGCATCATGGGTCTGGAGAGAATGGGACAATGGGGATGTTTTGGAGACATCATTGATGGATATAGATTTGTGGCATATTTAATACCCTCTGGTAAACTAACATAGCTATTGAAAATCACCATTTTTAATGGGAAAATCCACTATAACTGGCCATTTTCAATAGCTATGTTAAATTACCAGAGGGTAATCAAGAATATGATATGCATGGATGTGCCTGAACTTGTTATATACCCTTAACTGCAATTGAATGGAGAGAATAACGATAATCCACTGAGATTGACTGCCCTATTTCAGACAAACCCGTATAGCAATGTAAGTGTATGTACCATATATGTTTACATACATGCATACAGTAATGACAAAAAGATGCCGTTTTTACGTAGTGAATTTGAGCAAAATCGTGGATGGGAAAATCAGCTACACATGCTGTCGGTGAAATCACTGCCATTGAGAGGCTTCAACATCACTGGTGCATTTTTAAACATCACTGGTGCATTTTCAGTAACCCCGGCGCTGCAGGAAATCTATATATACTGTATATACGTATATATATATATGTCCAAATGAGGAGAAAATCAACAGCCTCTGGTAGTCAAACATGGCGTTGCTGGAGCATGCCCCATTTAGTTCTATGATTGTCCAATAAAAAAAGATGCCCAGCTAGCCATGTTTGATGACACCAGACGATATTACTATTAATATTGCATGATGATTCCCTTTATTCGCCTTATACCACCATTTTTGCTGGTGAAATCCATCAGAATTTCCGAATTTCCATCAGGTGCTGAAGGGCTGGGTTGGCGAAGAGAAGGGTTTCGATCCTTTGGGCGTGACGGATGCCTTGCCGGTCTACTGGGTGCGAGAAGCAGAGCCTCGGGTCATGGGATATGAATGGAATATTCAAGGAATATTGAAATGATTGAAATGTTAATGGAACATCCTTGAAGAATGGAGCTTTGAATGGGAAAATAAGGGTGTTATTATTATGTTTTATTCTCTATACATGGTGATTTAATTGGTGTGGTAATGGGATAGTAATGGGATATTCAAGGAGTAGTAATGGGATACTGATGAGATATTCATGAGATGCAGAGTCTTTCACATTTTGACATGTTGATTGTCATGTACACGTACAGTGTATATGGAGAGAGAGAAAGAGAGAGAGAGAGAGAGACGGAGAGCGACAAACGCACACTGAGAGAGAGAGAGAAGAGGTTATTAGATATTTAGATTGATGCTTGGACATGTATAAAGAGAGATGGATGGATGGATGGATGGATGGACGGATGGATTGATGTCAGTGAGCAGTGAGGATGATGGATGGATGGAAGGATTGATGATATTTTATACTATACAGATCTGTTCAGATGTTTAGATGTTTTTGTTCAAATCAGCATAGATTGCTCTTCAAGAAACAAATCAGTGGATAATCGTATGGGTCATATTATGGGTTTAGATCGATCGATCAATCGATAGATCAGTCTATATTATTATGTATGTGTATACATGTTTGTATTTACCTGTTTTTTTTTTATTTTTTAAAAATATATATGTATGTCATGTAATAATAACTGTTGGTAACATATATTTTTGTTCAGCCATCCTTGATGAAATCAGCAAGGAACTGAAGCATGGCCGAGTCTGCATGCTGGCCACTGTAGGCTGGGGTGCCCAAAAAACCTGTGTGCCAAAAAGTGCTGGGTTTGCGATAAAAGTGAGTCGGAAAGTAGGGTAGATATCTCATGAAAGCCCAGTTGTAGATGGACACGTAAGCCGGTCATGAGGGTCCCTGGGCTAGATATAACAATAGAGCCATTCAACCAATATGACCAACACCTCCATTTCGATGACACCCAATGATCCCAATGATATAGGGGGGTTATGGGCCCCAGTTACCACTCAAGGACCATTCTGATATGGATAGACAGGAGGGCAGGCGGTTTTTGTGATGAGGAAGGCGGAGTTAAGACATTTAATGTCTTTTTTCAAAAAAGGGCATTAACCGCATTAACCACATTAACCACATTAACCACTATGGAACATATAACCACATTAACCACATTAACCACATTAACCACATTGGAGGCTTCCATCACATTTGAACCTTCCTGCAAGCAGAACATATTCAGATTCTACGAGTCGCGGGGGATGGTTGGGAGCCATGCACAAAACCAGCAATGTACATATCTTAATGTTCAATAACAAAGAAATTTCCCTTATCTTGTGGACCATATTTTTCTATAACTCTTGGAGTCTCAGGCTTAACTGTCAAACTATCCAAGTCAACACGCTTTGTTGATCTCCTAAGAGTTGGCTACCGTCCCAACGGGTCATGGTGAAAATTAACCCCGCCATGTTGCCGGCACTGTTGCTGTTGCTGCTGACATTGACATGTTGTTGGTCGTTCCAATTTTGTTTTGACCAGAACAGGTTAACCCCCTCAGTCTTGATTAAATCATCTGAACATGTTTGATTTGTGGACGGTTGGCAAACATATGCGGAGGTTTCCTAAAATGGGGGGGAAGCCCCAAATCATCCACACGTCATAAGACTGTTTCAGTGTGAAACCCATGGTGACTTGGGGATCTCCCATGACTTACGACCCCATGGCCCCATGTGTCAATACCAATCAGTTCACATCTTGGTCCACATTTCCTGGGTACAAATTGGGGCTCAACTGCCTGTTCGTTTAAGAATCCATATCATATGGGCTATATCAGCTATATCTATATCATCTATATCCCATAAATTCTGTTGTATTTGCCGGAGAATAGTTGGGTTTTACCTCTGGTCATTTTCCATAGCCATGGAATATGTCAATATTCGATAGGTAAATCATCTACTTTCATAGGTAATTGTCCATGGCTACGTAACAAATTATCAGAGGGTATTCACCCATACCCATATTCCATCAACATCCCATCAAGGTTTACTGCATCCCCACAATAAGTGATTGTTTTGTGTTATACCCTCAATTGTTCAAAGTACAACTCTTACTCATCTCAGCCATACCACTTAAAAGTTTTTATTCAACAAAACAACAGTTATCAACTACCAGAGATTATCAGAGATTACTGTAGGTTTATAGCACAGCAGTTAGTTCCCATAGATAATTACTAACTGATGGTAGATTACTACCACTTATGTTTTTTTCCCCATGAAGTTACCATGAAAAACCCCCCTGACTATCGCAACGGGTCGTAGCTCCAAGGCTGGATTGCCACGGACCTGGGCTTCCGCTTCCCAGGCGACAAGTTCCAGAGCGTCAGCAACGCCTTTGAGGCGGCAAAACCCACGGGGAAACCCAGGAGAAGGTGGCAAAGGTATGACATTCGCCTTACAATTCAGCAAAGGTAAGTTATTGTGATATATTGTGATACATAAATTTATATGTATAATTGTATCTATAATTATATATATATACTGTTTGTGTTCGTGTTTTTTCCGAATCAGGTCGATCATTTGGTAAGTTAGTTTGGCCATTGAAGCATGCTGGTTGCTAGAACTTTTAGAGACGCAATGGGGAGTGCCGAACAAATCTGGTTTGAAAATTAGTATGAATTATCCAGAAACAATGGGGGTGATCAAACGAATAATAATACACATGAGTGAATCAACAGACGACCAGGCCTTTAACCAACAACAAACATTGTATGTACTGTATATAAGCAGCAGGAACTGGTTTAATCCACCAAACAGCTGCATTTCACCAACCAAAGAATTCAGAAACCAACAGGGATTCAACCGACGTGGAGTAATGACCAGCAACACTTGTGTATGGATACATTGCATTGAAATAAGAAATAAAAGTTGAAGTTACATGGCGTAGTAGTCGCATTCAAAATAAACACATCTAGTGTAAGTAAATCAGTAAATCCAACATTCTCAGACACACCATCATATTCTTGGTCACTGTATAACTATATATATATATATGTAAAATTATGTAAATCATTGTCATATCCCATTGATACACCCCACCATTCTCCCAAATACGTCACTATTACGTCCCCTATAAGATAGGTTTTGCCGGTCGATGAGGCCCATGACAAGATGGTTGAGGCTGGTTACATGCTTCCCTTTCTCGGAGCTATTGGCACCTTTGAACTCTATGTCCGGCAGCTTAAAAAAAACAGCTGGTTGGGAAAGTAGATGAAACTGGGATTTCCCAAGATGACATTCAAAATATGGTGGTTTCTTGTGGGAGAAGGATGTGGATCACTGGATACTGATACATGTGTGTCCATCTCTCGCACGTGTGAATATGTGAGAGGTCTTGTAACATTTTGCATGTCTACATGTACATACATACACACTATGCATGAATATGATTATGTATGTACACATTTGGTGGACAGACGAAGGGATAGATGAACAGATAAATACGTAGTCAGATATGGTGCTGTTGAAACTTGAAACATTGGCAATTGAAACTCAACGTTGCACAGCTGGAGCCCAAATGATCTGTTTATTTCATGGTTGGGCCCCCGGGGCTCCAGGTGTGCACAGACCATCCACATGCCATTTAGAGGCAGGATGGTCAAGGTGTTACAGACACATATATCATATTAACACACATCATTCTAGTTCTAATGTTTCTATAGATTTATGATGATTTATGTATATAATATTAATATATATATATATATTAATCATATATGCGTATCGTAGTTTGCCCATAGCAAGGCTCCCATGTGTTTTCTTTTTCCCGATGTGTCACAGAGCTCCGACTGAGTCCTTGTGGCTTCTCTTCAAGGGCTGGGAGAAAGAGGTGATCGGATTCTGTGGGACGCCTTTGACAAAAGGCATTGACAAACCGTCACCAGTGGGGATGTCATTGAATTAATTGGTTTATTTTATGAAATGTAATGACATATATCACCAACCAATCATCATACAATGTTCAAAACTCCTGTTGATTGATGATTATAGTTATTCAATAGTGAGTCAAAGCATCAACATGTGGGAATATAGTTGATATATTTGATGAAATGATAGTTGGTTGGTGATTATAGGGGATTATCGTACCCCCTAGTGTAGAATACCCTATCCATTAATTATGGTTAGCAGTTGATAGGTGGACTTTATTTGGATTTACTGTGGCTTTCTTGACAAATTCTTGATCAACTGATACAGTAACCTGAACATAACGCAGTTTCAACACCCTCAGTTGAGGATTTGTAAAAGGATTACCAGCCTTTGCAATCAAGGGAAGCACGATCCATGGGGATTTGAATACCAGGGGATCAACCCAAGCTGTTGATTTGTGCACAGGATATCCATGGGGATGGACCAACGAGCTAAACATGGGGATACTCTTTCCGACCCGTGAAATACCCACTATAAAATTGTTGGTGATACCGTGATACCTAAATGCAATTGAGCAATATCGAAATATGTCAAAATCCATTGGGCAATTCCTCATGATGGTCGGTGAATGCAGATTCCCAGTTGATGGAGTATGCTAATCCTCAAGACATAAAGGTAGTACAGCTCCATAAAAAAATGGAACAACTGAGGTTTTGAGACGGCTCAATTGCCATTGCTTGGTGAGTTCTTCCCATTTCGATTTGTTGTTGCCCCAAGTTGTTCGTTGAATCCCTGTGTTGGTTGACTAAGCCCGTGTCTTTTCTTGCTCATGCGGGTTCCATTGATAAAGTATGGTTTTGTTGATTGATCACTGTGTTGGTTAAATTCCTCACGTTGAGTGGTTAAATCATGTTAAGTCCCAATTCTTGTTTTTCAATCCATGTTTTTCGTGGTTTGTTACATCATGTTACATCTGTGTTTCGGTAGGTTAACTTCTCACATTCTTGGTCCTTGAAGCAGCACCAGGTGAATCGTGATGCTGGCGACTTCTTCCTGGGGAAGCAGTTCCTGCCCAAGGACCTTCAATGGATGAGCAATGGATTGTCATATTCATGATGCCAATATTGAATCTACTGCACACATATAATTTCTAAATAGTTTTAATATGTAAAATATGCATCAAATTTATATGGCCACGTTTTGTCAAATGTACATTTACATGCATGATAATATATATATATAATATAACATGGTTGTATCACACTTATACTGTGTATCTCATATTCTCTAAATTCTTATGATATCCCGTTACTATAATCAACAGAACTTATCTTTGGACCAAGTTCTTGAAACTGATCCATTCCTGATTTTGGCTGATGAAATCCCCAGAAATCCCTATAGGTTTTATGCGGTTTCCAAATAGCACGGTGCCAATTTTGGCTGGTTGGAGCCCGACAACCCATGCTCTTGTCTTTTAGTGCGGCACAACCTACCCAAAAAAGCAGGAGATTTGCTACCAGTGGCCCAGGCAATGATAGAAGTGCTGAAGAACTGGAACTGAAGATATTCAAGCCTTAATTATCAATGAAACTCTGCAAACTTGGGTGTTTGGTGTAGAGTCCATGGTGTTTTTTGGTTGCTTTGGATCTTCCGAGCTATTTCAGCGCTCCTATCTAGGAGCCCGAGAAGGAAAAGGACATGCGATTGAAGGCGAGGGGGCAGATAAAGTGTGGGGATGGGTCAATCCCAGATATCTCCAATATGGGTCATGATATATCATGATCTGGGTTGGTCAAAAAATTGGTTAGTCTATCTACCAAAAATATCAACAACTGCAAATTGATGTGGACCATGATGATCAATTCATATCAATTCCATTGTCAGAGCAATAATCATGGGGGCTATAAATTTGATTGCAATGGAGGTGTAGCTAGAGGTATAAAGGGGGAATGATCGGGGATCATAGGGGTATGATTTGGAATGCGGGTTTCCCCACAGGATTGGCACTGAATTTGACATAGCTACACATATACATACACATGGGTGCAGCATGGTGCAGCCTGTATAATCAATCATTTTGGGGATAACAAACATACACCACTTTGGGACCGCAAATTGTTGTCATCTCCAGTAGCTGCTAGGGATCCTCGGGGCTCAAAACTTTGCCACTCCATGGAGGATGAAAATGGCCATGAGAAGGCCATAGTCGGAGGAAAATCCATGCCATACAATCAAATGGCCGTTGGAAAATATGGAACGTGGCCACATCCTGCCATATTCTTTAGCAATGTTCTATTGACTTCTTTAGCAAAGGGAGACATCTAGAATATCTAGAATCTTCACTGGCTGGCAACTCACAGACTACAAATTTGGGACACATCACAAATTTTCCCGGGTGAGTATATCAGGTAACACAATGATTTATCGCTGTGTGGCTTCTAAAAGGACGGAGTGAACCCTTTCACCGTCAACATTGTTTGAACAAAAATGCACTGCCCAAAATTGTTCACATGTTGAACCTGAAATCTATTTGCTGCCCGATGGTCTATCCAATTCTTGGATATGGCCCAATTGTTGGGTGGTGTCGGTAAGCCTCAACCATCGACCAGATGATGGCGGCCACTGTGGCGTGATAGTTGTTCGGTGGGTAAAAAGAGCAAGTGAAATTTCGATTTTTGTTACCAGTCACCAACTGTATTTGTGCAATATCCCACCCTTTGGTAATCCTATCACTCGGACATGTATATATCATTCTATATATGTAATAATTGATGAATAAACAATAATCACTATTATTGATGTATCATTACAATAATCATTCTATACCACTATATATTATCATTCTATATAATGTGGTAAACCCAATAATAAGCCATCCAAAAAAAAAACACCAATTTTAATGGGTGGAGTTCCAACCATCCCCAGTCAAGGTAGGTATATGGCGCTGGTTTTTGCACATCGTGATGATCCTGGCGACCTAAAGTAATGAATCACATACATAGATCACAAGGTTTGCACTTTATTCTGTTCAATATAATAATATAATATAATATAATATAATATATATATATATATTTGTCCATCTGTCCATCTGTCTATTTGTCTATCTGTCTGTCTATGAGTCTATCTATCTCTATCTATCTCTATCTATCTCTATCTATCTCTATCTCTATCTATCTCTATCTATCTCTATCTATCTCTATCTATCTACCTACCAGTATAAATAACCATTTCCCGCTGAAACAGGAGCTGGAAAATGGTCGCCTGGCCATGTTCGCTTTCAGTGGCATTGTCACACAGGTGAGGATTGGGTTTTCCACTTCAGGGCATCGTATACAGTAGTTGATGTGGGTAACATGATGCAAACTCCGAAGGTTAAGAATGAGTTCCTTATTTACAGTCGACTAACGTTTGGCCTTCTGAATTGGATGGAAAATCAGGTGGCCATGATTTTTTGTCCAGTGGATTCCTGCGATATATTACCATTTGATGGTTGGTAGACGACGCCCCAACAAAGCCAGGACATGTGGGATCAGGTGGCAATGGTGGACGTGTGTTGCTTATCCAAATAATCGTGACGCACCCCAATCGATCTCATTTTGATTTGTGACGTGTCCAACATTGTGTTCTTAGTCACCCCTTTTTCGTTGGTGACATGTTCCCACTTTGAGACATATATATATATATATATATACATCGGTTCGTCCTTGTAGGATAATCTTCCCAGCCTGCAATCCTCGTGACCACGTGTTCCAGTTTTCCAGGGCGCTTTAAAAAACACCAAGCCGGGCCCTAGGTCTGAAAGTCCGCATCTAAAGATCCAAGTATATTGATGGTAAAGAAACACCATAATTTTGGACTTGGATGTGCAGAAGTTTTGTCGCTGGATTTGTAATACTCAATTCTCGGATCACTGCATAATATGGCTATGGATCAATACCTATAAGTACCATTTTTAGGGGGATGAACATCCATTTACCAGCTATTTTGATGTGAACTACAGGGGTACAAGGTTTTGACCCATCCCCATATAATGTATATAGTATGACAGAAGGCTTGTTTGAAAATGCGGTACCCTCAATTCCAATGGATTATCATCATGAAATCCCAGGGAAAATCAGCCAAAAAATGGGGTATATCCTATTTTTTAGACAAACTATATATATATATATGTATACATGGATATGTCATACTATATACTGTTGATGAGTATATCCATATTGTTGAATAGTAAATTCCCTATGTATATATCTATATATATATATATATGTCAAATATGGTCTTAAATTGTGAAAATACGATATCCCATGCTATATAGTTGAGCGAATATCCCATATATATATATAATGTGTATCCTCATGTATTCGCTGTTTAAATTCTATTGTTGGGGATGATACCCTCTGGTTATTTAACATAGCCATGGAAAATGGCCCATTTATAGATGGTTTACCTATTAAAAGTGGTGATTTTCCATGGCTATGTTAAATAACCAGATGATAATACTCATGTTGTTGAAACTCGATCCCCAGGATATCACCAACGGTTCACTTGACCAGGCCGCCATCACGGGCAAGACCTGGCCGTTCATGTAGGTCACCGGGTGCCCGGGCAGCATGAAGAAAGCTGGGTTACCCTCTGGTAAACTAACATAACTATGGAAAATCACCATTTTTAATGGGAAAATCCACTATAGATTGCCATTTTCAATAGCTATGTTAGTTTACCAGAGGGTAAATCATGGTGGAATTCCTTGTGGAAAACGGAGAAAATACGGAGAACATGATGAGAAAATGGGCTTTTTGAGGCGGGAATTGATCCAATTTCCATGGAGATAAAATTGAATCCTTGGGAAGAAATAGGACACTTGGAATACAATGGGGATTTATCCTTAAGGAATCAAAGAGAACCCGTGGCCAAACACTCCTTATATTATATGGGCCATCGATTTTGTTAACTCTCTCCATGGCCCATGTAAGTAGGGGAAAATCGAACGGTGTTTGCTCCCCCAAACTCCACAAAAGCAAATAACCAAAACATGGTTGATTGCAATGAACAGTCCATTTATATATATACAGTTACATACATGTATAGATAGACAAATTTTATTTGTGCAAATGTGTATACATGTAGGCTATATCATTTATACATACATGAACCACCAGGAAATCAGATCAGAGTCATCCACTGATTTGGATGGAGACCATTGAATTGCCATTGAAGAGATCCAATAGTTATGGCAATATGTTCCCCATGAATGTGTAATATGGTGGTTAAATCCCCATTGTATTCCACTGGTAATATGTTATCCATAATACAATGGGGATTTATTCCAATACTTATCCCAATTGCCACTGAATATGGTGGTCACTTTTTTTGGGGATGATTGCTGAATCATATGATCATGGGATTATGGTGTCACAAACAAATATGAGGTGATACCCCTGTTGGAAATCTCAATTAAGAATGAGATATTATTTCCATTAATAATATATCATATGGTCTCCATTGGAAAAACTCGAGGTATCTTCATTAATGTGAGACATATCAATGAAGATACCCCTTTTTCGGTAGCCCTGTTGGAAATCTCAATTTAGGTCCCTCGAGTTACTGCCCCTATTACCAGCATTGGCTATACATCCCCATTTCCGCATGCGGAAAAACCATGTAACAACTGTAACACTCCCTATTTGTTTCATGGTTAAGAAATGAAAATCCCTCAATTTTTAGTGGGAATATCATCATTTTACATAATTTTACCACATGTTTGTTGGGTTATTCCACATTTTCTTTTGTTGATCAGGGTTGATCAGTTAAGCTCCAAGGATGATATCCATATCCAGGATGCCCATGACATGAGGTCGCCTCGGTCTCCTGAATCTGCCAACGGCTGTCCAAAGTTGGGGGATACCCAGTGCTTGTTGATAGTAAATTTGTGTACATGTATGTATTTGTCTATATATGGATCTAATTTTATATACAGTAAATATCAGTAAATATGTATATATATATATTTATAGAATAAATATGTGTATATATATATTATATTTATGTACAATATATATATTTATATGAACAATTATATACAGTATGTGCAAAGCAGTCTTTACATGTATGTATATATATATAGATATACGTGAAGGTCTCTAGGTATGAAGATATTATGAAAACCGAGTGGTGAACTGGATCCATGAAACTAGTAAGTCCTGGTCTTGGGGGTGAAGATCCACCGATGATGGGTGAACGTGGCTGTTGTTGTGCCGTTGGTATATTAGGCAAGATTAGACATGTATGTTGCACCTCAAGCTTGGTTGAAGGAACATTTTACAGGAGGCTCCTATCTATACGTTACAGGATGCGCCTATATTTGGCAATAAAAGACATTGTGTCCCATACATGTTTGCCCACCAGACCAATCCATTCAGTAAAAGAAGCAAAGCCACAGGGTTCGCGGTATCCAGGTATCCCCCATATGATGCATCTCAAATCATCGCTGGTCAAATTACCAGTTCCGCCACAGTGGGATGCCACGATGGACTTTTTGAAAAAAGCCGCGGACGAGTTGGGTCGAAATCGACACCAGCCATGGGGTTTTTGGTCCATTGGGAGCCATACTTCATGGCTGTTTGGAGCCACCAAAAATACTTCCAACAGAATGGGAGATGTATCCTGAGCATTCTTGGTCCCAGTCATTATTAGTCTATATATATATAATTATATATACAATTATATACACATATTTTGGTGGTGTTCTTAATGTGTTGTGTGTGTTTTTCATTACCAAGTGTTGTGTGTTTATGCTTTCGATTGCCATTTCATTTTTTGTTAATTGGCAACCTTCAAACCCCAAGGGATTCCGTCTTCCAAGGTAAAACATGAAAATAACTGCCATTCAAGAGCTCTTCATGAGTCTCCGATATCAATATCATTACCGATGAAGTCCGTATGTTTGGTATTAGATCCACATTCTATGTATTTATCGATTATCCATACACCCCCACACATGTTGTCGTATCTGTGTGTGTGGGTTGCTCCAAAAACCGACACCCCGAAACCACCGGCACGTTCTACGCGAGGACTTTCAGCGGCAGGCGCACACTGTCGTCTCTGTAGGATTCGTTTCTTTAAGCGATCGTTGAGACCAATTGTAGTACGGTTGTATTACATGCGAATACTATATGAATAGTTTCCTATAAGCATAATATGTATAATTATGTATATTATATCAATTTATATGTAACTTTACACTGAAAATACCAATGATGTAACTGTATATATAATATCATATAACACATGGCATGTGATGGGATATACCAACAACACATAGAATATACTGTACTGTACTGCGGACCAAACCATTGTAGTTGCGATAAGGTTGTGATATGGGGATGAGTCAAAACCACTCATAGAAACAACAAAAAAACACATGACCGGCATGACCGAGATGAGCATCCATAAACAATAGCTATGTTCATGTGAAAAGCAGGGTACCGTTTGGTTGTGTCTTATGGCCATCTCTGTTTTGTATTGTCCTTTGCTGCCAGTCGAGTTCCATGAATTTGGGATTCGGAGAGCTGGTTAACGGTGCTATCACCCATTGACATGATGATAGCTGATTCTCTGAAACCACCAAGCGAGAATTCACACAATGTTTTTCGTTTGTTTAATATACATCTTGTCATTGTCATCTGAATACATTGCAATGTGTTGTTGGTTTGTGATGTTTTGTGATGTTTTGTGATGATATGACCCAACAATAGCTATTGCTTGGCGCCTTGTGGTCACCAAGCCCAGCGGCACCACGGCTTGACCAGGTGCACAAAGATGTAGCCCAAGTCTCAGTGGCCACGGTGGCCACATCATCGTTGGGGACCCCAGTCCGAGTCCCAGGGCAATTTAGGCTCTTGGGGACCGATGGACTTGTCATTTTTCCTTGATTTTTCATGTTTAGTTTTAGAGTATCCCATTTTGACCCTTCCCAACATGGTTGCATTGTGTGCCTTGTATGCTTCTGGCAGCTTTGCGAGAAACACCATTTGAGTTTGTTTGTCCAAGAATAAAAACATACCCCAAACCCGCTGCTTATTTATTCTGTTTCCCCATGAAAAGGCGCTCTCAGGGTATGCCTCATTTTCCGAGATACACATTTGAACTATATGGTACTGCGTCAAAAATGACTGTCTTGGAAACTGACCAGACAAGTAACTTACCATCGTATTTTGTAGGTGTTTGGGGTTTCAAGAGCCAAAATTTGCCAAGATGTTTTGTCTTGCATCCCGGATCATCCCTACTGTTGATTGCGATCCAACATTGACAAAAATTCTTGGGATGGGGCCGAAAATCAGTCAAACGACGAATCACCATCAAATTGCTATTGCGCATGATTTGTGCACAGTTTGGCTCATCCCCCATCATTTTCAGAAAAACAAGGTTGAGCGCAAATTGACGGTGCCCGCCCCACTGCATATCATTATTCTTGTGATGTGGGTGTGTCTATATATGGATGTTTCCGGTAAGTACTGTAGCACAATTGTTTGTGGTTTTAATCCCCCCTTGTCTCTATTCAAATTCACCACCTGTTCCCTTTCAATTTCTTCCTCTTATAGATCCAATCACCTTGCTTTACTTGAATCTATACCAATTACAGTATATCCAATGATTTCTTTCCCATTCCCAAGAGATCCGAACATATCTCACGTAAACACAAATCCACATAACGGTCGGAAAGAACATATTTGACACAGACTATTCATATCTGACAAATCACCATCGATTGTGGTTTGAAATATATGTGGGATGATGATCTTCATCGACGAGCATATCACCAAGCAGTGTACTTATATGATAAATACAATATACAATAATATACATATATCCCCATTATATCTCATGATATCCCATTTCTCCAATGATCGCTGTTTAAATTCCCCCTTATGTTCCTTTGATCTCCGCGAGTTTCTCACCCTCTGGAAGGCACGACACCCAGACGGAGCCCATGGACAGTATGGTGGAGCAGCCCCAGTCAGGTGCGGCATGGTACCAGGTGGTGCCCCCTGCGGCCCCTGCGGTCATCATTTGAAGCATATATAGCATATGTAAACCCTAGTAAACTGAGTCACCAAGTTATCTAATAATGGGGCACTACCTTGTAGGATATTCCGAAATTCCATTCACTACATAACTTGGAATATTGATCTATTTGGTTAAACATGGTTAAATGAATGATGTTAATTAAATGATGCTAAATGATAGTTTATATTAGTCCATTATTCCGAGTGATTTGACGCTAGTTGATAGTATAACTGCTTTAAACCGGCTGTTACTGAATCATATTGGTATGAATTATGTGTTCCATGATCAGGAGTCATTTAACACGTGCAACAACAAGCTGTCAATCAACTATTCAAACTTGACAATTCAAACATGGTATATCGAAGTATAATGATGCTTAGATATGTTTAGATATCATGTTTTTAATCAACATCGGACATGAAATCGGTGTGAATCATCAAGGACGCCTGCTGCTGTTGATCACCTTGAGAAGTGCATCTATTGCTTTCCTATAGGGCATTCCGAGGTAACATGATCGATAAATACCAGATTTTCCATATGTTCAATTCCTGGTGGATACCTAATTAAGTTTGTTTCATACCATGTTACATGTTATTTATTGAATGCAGGCTTCACGCGTGTTGGAGGTCAAAACTTCTAGATTCATGATTTACAGACCATTTCGTAGATATGTAGAAACCCAGAAGTAGGTAAGAAGTTGGGAACTTCAAGATTGAGATTGCAGGATATTGCAGGTTTAAAATCTCAGCATTGTTTTTAATGTTTTACTTATTTTATCTGTATTTTATTTGTCCATTGGGCAGAAACTGACATAACATTTAATGTAGCCATCACGCATTTGGTATAACATCAACAAAAGCCGATTAAGCATTGGCAAGAGAACCGACAGCACGTCCTCAGCCATTTAGCAGATATGAGATACTAATCAACACATTTGGATGCCCACTTTACCTACAGAAACGGGGAACAAGACATAAGCAACACCAAAATGATGGGACAATACATACCCATTTTGATCTGGCTGAACTACAACGCCAACATCATCACCTCACCATGATTGTTAATAAAGGAACAACCCAAACATCAGCAAAAGCGAGGTCGTCGTATATTACACATATACATGTTGCAAAATATTACACAGTATACATATATATATATATTTACATCCCACATATATGCATATATATATGTACCATATATATGTACCTGTACATACCTGTACCATATATATATAATGTTGGATACTGATTAGTGTGGGGATACTGAATTGTGTCCACAGACCTCAAAATTATTCTGTAACTCTGGAAATGATCGAGGGTACAGTTTTGTGTCCACAGGATTTTGGTGTAAGTTTTTTTTTTCATTTTTTTTGTTTTTTTTAGTTTTTAATTGTTTTTTATTTTATTTTAAAATTTTAAAATATTTTTTTAATTTTATTTTTAATTATAATAATTTTTAATTTAATTATTTTTTATTTTATTTTAAATTATGTTTTATTTTTATTTTTGATTAATTAATTAATAATAATAATTTTTAATTTAATCATTTTTTAATTTATTTTAAATTATTTTTTATTTTCATTTTTAATTATAATATTTTTTAATTTAAGTATTTTTATTTTTAATTATATTTTTTTATTATTTTGTAAAATTGTGTCAGGATACACAATTGTGTCATTGTGTCAGGATACACAATTGTGTCTTGGTCTTTTTTTGTTGTTCAAACATTTTTCATTTTTTTCATTTTTTTAAAGCTTTTTCCTTTTACTTTTTATTTTCCATCATTGAAATTTTCCAGATGCCTTCCACAGAAAATTACATCCAAGTACAAAATAGTGTGGTTTGTTTGGAGGGTACACTATTGTGTCCAGCTGCTTTCCTGAGGTCATGATTTTTTTTGATTTTTTTCAATCATTTCCTTTACCTTTTCCTTTACTTTTTTTTCTTTTAATTACTTTATTACTTTCTTAGTTTCTTTCATTTGAAATTCTCAGAAATGACCAGTTTCCTAAAATATATGATGCCTTATTAAAACCCAATTAAAAAACATCACTCAAACAATTTTTCAAGGGGGCAGTCCATGAGCAACCCTGATACACAATAGTGTGGTTTGTTTGAGGGTACACTATTGTGTCCAGCTGCTTCCTGAGGTCATGATTTTTTGTTTTTTTTCAATCATTTCCTTTACCTTTTCCTTTGCTAGCTAAAGTGTTTTCCTTTCAATTAATTTCTTTCTTAGTTTCTTTCATTTGAAATTCTCAGAATGACCAGTTTCCCAAAATATATGATGCCTTATTAAAACCAAATTAAAAAACATCACACAAACAATTTTTCAAGGGGGTAGTCCATGAGCAACCCTGATACAGAATAGTGTGGTTTGTTTGGAGGGTACACTATTGTGTCCAGCTGCTTTCCTGAGGTCATGATTTTTTTGATTTTTTCAATCATTTCCTTTACCTTTTCCTTTGCTAGCTAAAGTGTTTTCCTTTCAATCAATTTCTTTCTTAGTTTCTTTCATTTGAAATTCTCAGAAATGACCAGTTTCCCAAAATATATGATGCCTTATTAAAACCCAATTAAAAAACATCACTCAAACAATTTTTCAAGGGGGTAGTCCATGAGCAACCCTGATACAGAATAGTGTGGTTTGTTTGGAGGGTACACTATTGTGTCCAGCTGCTTTCCTGAGGCCATGATTTTTTGATTTTTTTCAATCATTTCCTTTACCTTTCCTTTGCTAAAGTTTTTTCTTTTAATTGCTTAATTACTTTCTTAGTTTCTTTCATTTGAAATTCTCAGAAATGCCCAATTTCCCAAAATATATGATGCCTTATTAAAACTCAATTAAAAAACATCACTCAAACAATTTTTCAAGGGGGTAGTCCATGAGCAACCCTGATACACAATAGTGTGGTTTGTTTGGAGGGTACACTATTGTGTCCAGCTGCTTCCTGAGGTTATGTTTTTTTTCAACCATTTTCCTTGTCCTTTTCCTTTGCTAAAGTTTTTTTCTTTTATGGTATTTCTATGGTATTACTATTGGATTTCTATGGAATTCCTATGAGGTCTCCATGATGTTTCTATGATATTTCTGGAGGATTTCTATGGGATTTCTGAAGGGGTGCTATGGGAGTTCTATGGTATTCTTATGGGATTTCCATTGGATTCCTATGGGATTTTTATGGTATTTCTATGATCTTTCCTATGGAATTTCTATTGGTTTCCTGTGGGTTTTCCAAGGTATTTCCATGATGTTTCTATGATCTTTCTATGGGATTTCTGTGAGATTCCTATGGGATTTCCATGTTATTTCTATAATCTTTCTATGGGGGTTCCGTGAGATTCCTGTGGGATTTCCATGTTATTTCTATGATCTTTCTATGGGATTTCTGTGAGATTCCTATGGGATTTCCATGTTATTTCTATGATCTTTCTATGGGATTTCTGTGAGAGTCTTATGGGATTTCCATGTTATTTCTATGATCTTTCTATGGGATTTCTGTGAGATTCCTATGGGATTTCCATGTTATTTCTATGATCTTTCTATGGGATTTCTGTGAGATTCTTATGGGATTTCCATGTTATTTCTATGATCTTTCTATGGGATTTCTGTGAGATTCCTATGGGATTTCCATGCTATTTCTATGATCTTTCGATGGGATTTCTGTGAGATTCCTATGGGATTTCCATGTTGTTTCTATGATCTTTCTATGGGATTTCTGTGAGATTCCTATGGGATTTCCATGTTATTTCTATGATCTTTCTATGGGATTTCTGTGAGATTCCTATGGGATTTCCATGTTATTTCTATGATCGTTCTATGGGATTTCTGTGAGATTCCTATGGGATTTCTGTGAGATTCCTATGGGATTTCCATGTTATTTCTATGATCTTTCTATGGGATTTCTGTGAGGTTCCTATGGGATTTCCATGGTATTTCTATGATCTTTCTATGGGATTTCTATGATCTTTCTATGGGATTTCTGTGAGATTCCTATGGGATTTCCATGTTATTTCTATGATCTTTCTATGTGATTTCTGTGAGATTCCTATGGGATTTCCATGTTATTTCTATGATCTTTCTATGGGATTTCTGTGAGATTCCTATGGAATTTCCATGTTATTTCTATGATCTTTCTATGGGATTTCTGTGAGATTCCTATGGGATTTCCATGTTATTTCTATGATCTTTCTATGGGATTTCTGTGAGATCCTTATGGGATTTCCATGTTATTTCTATGATCTTTCTATGGGATTTCTGTGAGATTCCTATGGGATTTCCATGTTATTTCTATGATCTTTCTATGGGATTTCTGTGAGATTCTTATGGGATTTCCATTTTATTTCTATGATCTTTCTATGGGATTTCTGTGAGATTCCTATGGGATTTCCATGCTATTTCTATGATCTTTCCATGGGATTTCTGTGAGATTCTTATGGGATTTCCATGTTATTTCTATGATCTTTCTATGGGATTTCTGTGAGATTCTTATGGGATTTCCATGTTATTTCTATGATCTTTCTGTGGGATTTCTGTGAGATTCTTATGGGATTTCCATGTTATTTCTATGATCTTTCTTGGGATTTCTGTGAGATTCTTATGGGATTTCCATGTTATTTCAGTTCTTTCTATGATCTTTCTATGGGATTTCTGTGAGATTCTTATGGGATTTCCATGTTATTTCTATGATCTTTCTATGGGATTTCTGTGAGATTCCTATGGGATTTCCATGTTATTTCTATGATCTTTCTATGGGATTTCTGTGAGATTCTTATGGGATTTCCATGTTATTTCTATGATCTTTCTATGGGATTTCTGTGAGATTCCTATGGGATTCCCATGTTATTTCTATGATCTTTCTATGGGATTTCTGTGAGATTCCTATGGGATTTCCATGTTATTTCTATGATCTTTCTATGGGATTTCTGTGGGATTCCTATGGGATTTCCATGTTATTTCTATGATCTTTCTATGGGATTTCTGTGAGATTCCTATGGGATTTCCATGTTATTTCTATGATCTTTCTATGGGATTTCTGTGAGATTCCTATGGGATTTCCATGTTATTTCTATGGGATTTCTGTGAGATTCCTATGGGATTTCCATGTTATTTCTATGATCTTTCTATGGGTTTTCTGTGAGATTCCTATGGGATTTCCATGTTATTTCTATGATCTTTCTATGGGATTTCTGTGAGATTCCTATGGGATTTCCATGTTATTTCTATGATCTTTCTATGGGACTTCTGTGAGATTCCTATGGGATTTCCATGGTATTTCTATGGTCTTTCTATGGTATTTCTGTGAGATTCCTATGGGATTTCCATGTTATTTCTATGATCTTTTTATGGGATTTCTGTGAGATTCCTATGCGTTTTCCATGTTATTTCTATGGTCTTTCTATGGGATTTCTGTGAGATTCCTATGGGATTTCCATGTTATTTCTATGCTCTTTCTATGGGATTTCTGTGAGATTCTTATGGGATTTCCATGTTATCTCTATGATATTTCTATGGGATTTCTGTGAGATTCCTATGGGATTTCCATGTTATTTCAGTTCTTTCTATGATCTTTCTATGGGATTTCTGTGAGATTCCTATGGGATTTCCATGTTATTTCTATGATCTTTCTATGGGATTTCTGTGAGATTCCTATGGGATTTCTATGTTATTTCTATGATCTTTCTATGGGGTTTCTGTGAGATTCTTATGGGATTTCCATGTTATTTCTATGATCTTTCTATGGGATTTCTGTGAGATTCTTATGGGATTTCCATGTTATTTCTCTGATCTTTCTATGGGATTTCTGTGAGATTCCTATGGGATTTCCATGTTATTTCAGTTATTTCTGTGATCTTTCTATGGGATTTCTGTGAGATTCCTATGGGATTTCCATGTTATTTCTATGATCTTTCTATGGGATTTCTGTGAGATTCCTATGGGATTTCCATGTTATTTCTATGATCTTTCTATGGGATTTCTATTAAAGTTCTTTGGGACTACTATTGGATTTCTATGGAATGTCGATTGAAAGTAAATTGGCAGTAAATTGAAATCAATTGAAAGTAAATTCAAAGTAATTTGAAATCAATTCAAAGTAAATTGAAAGTAAATTGAAATCAATTGAAAGTAAATTGAAATCAATTGAAAGTAACTTCAAATCAATTGAATGATCGAGATCCACGATAGTCTGGTTTGTTTGAGGGTACACTATTGTGTCCAGCTGCTTCCTGAGGTGATTTTTTTTGAAACATTCCCTTTACCTTTTCCTTTGCTAAAGTTTGTTTCCTTTTACTTAGCTTCATTTTTCTTTGAATCAAAACCAAAGGCTTTCTAAAGGATTAGTTTCAGCCAAGCAAAAAAAAAAACATGAATGATCATGATACACAATAGTATGGTTTGTTTGAGGGTACACTATTGTGTCAAGCTGCTTCCTGAGGTGATTTTGTTTTTTTTACAGTCCCTTTACATTTTCCTTTGCTAAAGTTGGTTTCTTTTATTTTCTCAATTAGTTTCTTTTATTTAGAATTCTCAGAAATGCTCAATTTCCCAAAATATATGATGCCTTATTAAAGCCCAATTAAAAAACATCACTCAAACAATTTTTCAAGGGGGTAGTCCATGAGCAACCCTGATACACAATAGTCTGGTTTGTTTGGGGGTACACTATTGTGTCCAGCTGCTTCCTGAGGCTATGTTTTTTTTTTTTTCCAACCATTTCCTTTTCCTTTTCCTTTGCTAAAGTTTGTTTCCTTTTACTTAGCTTCATTTTTCTTGGAATCAAAACCAAAGGCTTTCCAAAGGATTAGTTTCAGCCAACCAAAAAAAACATGAATGATCATGATACACAATAGTATGGTTTGTTTGAGGGTACACCTTGGAATCAAAACCAAAGGCTTTCTAAAGGATTAGTTTCAGCCAAGCAAAAAAAAACATGAATGATCATGATACACAATAGTATGGTTTGTTTGAGGGTACACTATTGTGTCAAGCTGCTTCCTGAGGTGATTTTGTTTTTTTTACAGTCCCTTTACATTTTCCTTTGCTAAAGTTGGTTTCTTTTATTTTCTCAATTAGTTTCTTTTATTTAGAATTCTCAGAAATGCTCAATTTCCCAAAATATATGATGCCTTATTAAAGCCCAATTAAAAAACATCACCCAAACAATTTTTCAAGGGGGTAGTCCATGAGCAACCCTGATACACAATAGTCTGGTTTGTTTGAGGGTACACTATTGTGTCCAGCTGCTTCCTGAGGTTATGTTTTTTTTTCAACCATTTCCTTTTCCTTTTCCTTTGCTAAAGTTTGTTTCCTTTTACTTAGCTTCATCTTTCTTGGAATCAAAACCAAAGGCTTTCCAAAGGATTAGTTTCAGCCAAGCAAAAAAAACATGAATGATCATGATACACAATAGTATGGTTTGTTTGAGGGTACACTATTGTGTCCAGCTGCTTCCTGAGGTGATTGTTTTTTTCTTTTACTTGAAAGTAAATTGAAATCAATTGCAAGTAAATTGAAATCAATTGAAAGTAACTTGAAATGAGTATGATCATGATACACAATAGTATGGTTTGTTTGAGGGTACACTATTGTGTCCAGCTGCTTCCTGAGGTGATTTTGTTTTTTTACATTCCCTTTACATTTTCCTTTGCTAAAGTTTGTTTCTGTCATTTTCTCAATTAGTTTTTTTTATTTAGACTTCTCAGAAATGCTCAATTTCCCAAAATATATGATGCCTTATTAAAACCCAATTAAAAAACATCACTCAAACAATGTTTCAAGGGGGTAGTCCATGAGCAACCCTGATACACAATAGTATGGTTTGTTTGAGGGCACACTATTGTGTCCAGCTGCTTCCTGAGGTGATTGTTTTTTTTCTTTTACTTGAAAGTAAATTGAAATCAATTGCAAGAAAATTGAAATCAATTGAAAGTAACTTGAAATGAGTATGATCATGATACACAAAAGTATGGTTTGTTTGAGGGTACACTATTGTGTCCAGCTGCTTCCTGAGGTGATTTTGTTTTTTTTACATTCCCTTTACATTTTCCTTTGCTAAAGTTTGTTTCTTTTATTTTTTCAATTAGTTTCTTTTATTTAGAATTCTCAGAAATGCTCAATTTCCCAAAATATATGATGCCTTATTAAAACCCAATTAAAACACATCACTCAAACAATTTTTCAAGGGGGTAGTCCATGAGCAACCCTGATACACAATAGTATGGTTTGTTTGAGGGTACACTATTGTGTCCAGCTGCTTCCTGAGGTGATTGTTTTTTTTCTTTTACTTGAAAGTAAATTGAAATCAATTGCAAGTAAATTGAAATCAATTGAAAGTAACTTGAAATGAATATGATCATGATACACAATAGTATGGTTTGTTTGAGGGTACACTATTGTGCCCTGCTGCTTCCTGAGGTGATTTTGTTTTTTTACATTCCCTTTACATTTTCCTTTGCTCAAGTTTTTTTCTTTTATTTTCTCAATTAGTTTCTTTTATTTAGAATTCTCAGAAATGCTCAATTTCCAAAAATATATGATGCCTTATTAAAACCCAATTAAAAAAACATCACTCAAACAATTTTTCAAGGGGGTAGTCCATGAGCAACCCTGATACACAATAGTATGGTTTGTTTGGGGGTACACTATTGTGTCCAGCTGCTTCCTGAGGTGATTGTTTTTTTTCTTTTACTTGAAAGTAAATTGAAATCAATTGCAAGAAAATTGAAATCAATTGAAAGTAACTTGAAATGAATTGAAAGTAACTTGAATTCAATTGAAAGTAAATTGAAATCAATCGAAAGTAAATTGAAATCAAATGAAAGTAAATTGAAATCAATTGAAAGTAACTTCAAATCAATTGAAAGTAACTTCAAATCAATTGAAAGTAAATTGAAATCAATTGAAAGTAACTTCAAATCAATTGAAAGTAAATTGAAATCAATTCAAAATGAATTGAAATCAGTTGAAAGTAAATTGAAATCAATTCAAAGTAACTTGAAATCAATTCAAAATGAATTGAAATCAGTTGAAAGTAAATTGAAATCAATTCAAAGTAACTTGAAACTAATTGAAAGTAAAACCAAATCAATTCAAAATAAATTCAAATCAATTGAAAGTAAATTGAAATCAATTGAAAGTAAATTCAAATCAATTGAAAGTAAATTGAAATCAATTCAAAATAAATTCAAATCAATTGAAAGTAAATTGAAATCAATTCAAAATAAATTGAAATCATTTGAAAGTAAATTGAAATCAATTGAAAGTAAATTGAAATCAATTCAAAATAAATTGAAATCATTTGAAAGTAAATTCAAATCAATTGAAAGTAAATTGAAATCAATTCAAAATCAATTCAAATCAATTGAAAGTAAATTGAAATCAATTCAAAATAAATTGAAATCAATTCAAAATCAATTCAAATCAATTCAAATCAATTGAAAGTAAATTGAAATCAATTCAAAATAAATTCAAATCAATTCAAAATAAATTGAAATCAATTGAAAGTAAATTCAAATCAATTGAAAGTAAATTGAAATCAATTTAAATCTATCATTTTTTTTATTTTACCGTATTCTGTACCCGTCACCTTCTTTTTTCCACACTATTCTGTACCCCAAATTTGTTTGGGGGGGGGGGCCTCCCCACACTAATCAGTAACCTACATTATATATAATATATACATATAACATATACATACATATGACATACGCCTGCATTGCAGGCGGCCCGACCCCATCGCAGCTGGAGCCGGAGCCGCCGCGCTGGGAACGCCGGGTCTTGGAGCTGCTGGCTGAGGAGTTGGGGATCCCTGGTCAAGCCGGGTGCGTGGCGAAGTTGGGAAAGCCATGGTGGTGTCAAAACCCTGGGAAAATGTGGGAAAGTCACATTTTTTATTGGGTAAATCAACTATAAATGGCAATTTTAAATCAGAAGATATAAGATTTGTTGCACGAAAATGGGATGAAACTATAAGAACATGTTGGAGTTAGCAGGGAAATAAAATGACATGTCCGGTTTGATCGATCATCAACCTGGGTTTGTTTAAGGTGATTGATGTCTTTTCGTTGATCTAAGTGTCCCAGGTTTCCTTATTATATCCCTGTTGATGGCTGATTTCGCTGATTTCTGCCCAGGCATGCAACAAATTAATAGTTAGGATTCCAATGGATTGTTATATAATGGGACTTAATGGGATTTAACCATGGGCAAACGACTATTTGCTGGGATTCAATGGGAAATAGCTAACCAGTAATAAACACCAATATGATATCGATTTTTCCCCCGTTTATATTAAACACCCCCCAGAAAGCATGGTTCAGTAGGAGATGAAACCAGAGATTTGGGACCATACAATGGCATATGGGGGTGGGACTGATATCAGGGGGATGGGATTGTTATGGCTTTAGCTGATGCGACCCACACAGGATGGCGCACGAATTGATAAGACACCCCCGGGAAGTCATTGGATTGATTGCCGCGAACATGTTTTTTGGAACTCTCCTGATGCTAAAACCGATTTGGATTTCCATTGTTCTCCTAGGTCACCCCACGAAATTGTGGACAAATACAATTGACCGGTGCTGGGAGGTGCTCTTTACACTAAACTTGTGTGCAATTCTATGACGCAAATCTATGTTTTGTTCATTGATGACTGATCCGTCATGATCCGTCACTGTTCAGCCATGCCAAAACTCAAGTAACGATTGGCATGGTGATGCTTGCCATGTGGTGACTGGTCAGGGCAAAACCCTCAAGGGAAGAACTACTCTTTTCAGTTCATGGGTTTTGACATATTCTTTTTGCTATTGGGTATTTCATAGGCTTCATTGTGCTTTGTTAGAAATGTCATGATGATCCCAAGTGAAGCATAGGTATATATAATTATAATTATATATATATACATAGTAATTAGATATTATGACAAGTGGCATACTATATATATATATTCACACTTCTATAGATATATATATATACTTAGATATGGATTCAAAAATGTTCACGGAATTGCCTCACCAAACACACGTCCAAGGTCTCCCAAACGCGCTGAGGACGCTGGATTCGATTTTGGTTGGGGACACTTTTTGGCCCATTTGCTGCTCATTAATGACTATACTGACTATCTTCTGTTGTGTTTATTATGTTTATATATATATATATAGATATTTGTTCCAGTATAGTTAAATGCTTCGACGGATCAGCATTTTCTGTTGGTTTTTGCTTGTTCTGTTGGTAGCTTCACAATAAATGCTGTCAAGATCAGTGACCATGGAACTTGTGCGACTCACCCAGACCAGCAATGGACTTCGGATGAGTCGACATCCATACCATGAAATATGCGAGGAATCCTGCCAGGGAAAGTGCCAGTTCATTTCGGAATTTTGAGGATTTTTTGGGGGGCATTATCCGATGGACAAATTCTAACGGCGAAGGACCTCACCATCAATATGGATAGTTTGGGGCAAAATCCCAAAATGCCCATCTGCCAAGTTTGCAATTTCTTACGAAAATGCTATGTATACACACACATTTGAAGTCAAGCTGCGCTTTTGTGAGTGCACATATACATGAGTATGCATATGTACGTATGATTATGTATTCATATTGTATAGATTCATATTATTCATATGTCCACAACATTAATTGCGCCGATGAAAACGTTCCATGTTTCGCAGGCATTGCCGCTGAAGCGTGGAAACGACATTGGGTCTGGATATGTCTGGGGGCCTTGAGCCTCTGCCCTGGCGATGGTGTTTCGGGGTTGGGAAACTGAGCAAATAGAAGAACATGCTGAAAACAACTGAAACAGAAAATAACAATAATGGATACAGTAATATGTTTGTCTTTAAGAAAAACAATAATAATCATAGTAATAATCATAGTAATAATCATTGATAGAAATAATAGTAATAACAATAACAATAATAAGAACAATAATAATTATTATAGTAATAATATAATATAGATATAATATATATATATAGTTATTCTGCTAACATCAATATAATATCAGTTAGCATCCGTTGACCAACAAAACTGGTGATATCAAAATTATATGCCACAATGATCGGAAGTGAGGTAAGCTGTTTGTGTTTGCTGTTGCCGATGATCCCGGAAGTTGGTTTTGTTGTTGGTCCCTTTTCGGTTTGGGGAGTCCCTTTTCGCGTGGGAAACCCAGCGGAAACACTGGGGAAACACCAGTATCAAACGGATTCAAAGGGCAACTAATGCCAGGTATTTTAAGATAAGATAAGATTGGCAAACAGATTTGCTAAAACAAGCCAGGTGGTTATTCCTAAAATATTCTTAAAACACCACTTTGGATAAGATAAGTGGTGAGCTATCCAATTGATAGCTATTTATCCAAAGATAGCCTTGGCCTTGGAGGCCCACCCCAATGCTGCCCAGGCCCTTCGCGAACTGGCCAAGAGTGCAGACAAGGCGGGCCAGCCATGCACCTGAAGGAGTAGCACGAGATTTTGAAGGGAAAATCTGCAGGAAACCTCTATATTTGATGTTGGAAACATGGTTTCCTGCAGATGTTCCCGTAAACCCAACCATTGTTATATGATTCTTTCAACACATGTTTGGTGGTATAGTTTTGTTGGGCCAATATCACCGACCCATCAACTAGGAGTTCATCTTTATTGGGTTTATGGTGTATGAAAATCTACCACAAACTATGGATTTTCCCAAAAGATATGGTGTTTTCGGTTTCAATTGTCCCTTAAACCAATCCATTGAACATCATATTTGTGGCTTAAATCCACCATTTTAATGATCACCCCCTCCGTCAAAACAATTCAAACCTTGATTTCCTTCGCGGATTTCCCAGGCTAAGGAGCTAAAGAAGACCTTGCAGAAAGATCACCGGGAGGTGCGTGGTGAATATTGGCGAATTGCGCGGAGATTGGTGAGGATGGGGCAGTGCAAAAACGCGCAACAAACCGACAATTTAATTAAAAAAACATGACTGGACATAGTTATTGGATGTTATTGGATGTTATTGGAATATCTGAAATTCATTTGTCAAATGCATATTTTTCGCTAGCATTGATCCCGAGATAGTGGTGTTGTGGATTGTGAGGGAACAAAGATGAGACAACCGGCGCTGCCAAATTTGAGAAAGTCGGGTTAAAAAATAGGGTATGGGTAGTATACGCAGTTAAACGAGGTTAAAAAAACGAGGGTATGGGTAGTATAGGCAGTATGGTCAAAAAAACAAAAGTTTGTTTATACATATATTTAGTCACCATAAATAATAGATATAAATAGTGATATTATGGTTAATAATGCTTAATAATGGTTAATAATGGTTAATAATGGTTAATAATGGTTAAACTGATAAAACAAGTCCGCCACTGCAGATTGGGTTTCGAATCTTGGACTCCTGATGACTTGATGCCAGTGGTGTTCCATGGTTAGGACTGGTTTTTCCGAGGGCACAAATATTAGTTCAAGATGCTTCCAGGAATGGGGAAAACTATGGAAAGCTTATGTTGGATTTGGTATGTTCCCTAATTCGTCCACTTACTGTATATCAGTCAGTGTTTTTTCTTCAATTCTTGACAGGCTACTGTTCCAAATGCATTGCTTACAACACGAGGGAGCCTCCTGAATTTGTGACATGCCCAGGTGTAGTTCACATCGCAGTGCAACCCCGGGAATCGTCAGCTTGCTATGCCAAACAACCGCAACAGATTAAAGCTGGGTAAACCGCGATCATAGTTGGTGAATGTGTAGAGTTGGTGTGACGTGTCAGTCATTCGGCAGGAAGAGAGATTTATTTGTTCAATCGCAGGGTCGAAACGAGACTAGCCAGCAATACACCCGCCCGACTTGGCTCAGCTGGGGGTGGGACGGGGAAGGTAGGGACATCTCTGCTGGCCCCGGGAGCTGAAAGGTCCCGAAGTCCCGACACTGATGCATCCTCCCATGATTCAAGATCGTGCCATGCATCCTGCAGTTGTTGCAGTCCCGGTATAACGAAACATACAGCACAACTGCACGGTGGCCTCCACTTATAGTCACCCCAAGAAAAGAATAGAAAAGATACAAAGAACAAATCCAGGATGGTGGCCTCATTAGATTCATTAGATGACAAATTGCCACTTATTTTCCAGGTGTCCAACTTTTCTATCGATTTTGGGGATGTTTTTTCAACGCAGCAAAGATTTTCACCGCTGACTTTTTAAACATCGGCCCTCTCGGTCCGCGGCGCCATGGATCGGCAACGAGTGCGGAACAACGTGCTGATACCATGCAGCTTGGTACCATGGGACGACTTCCAACATCTTCCAAGGGAATCAGGATAGGCCACATTTGGACCATGTGATACCAATTGAATCGTTGAAACTGTTGGGTGTGTAAGCAACATATCCATGCATATATCATATATCCATGTATATTTCCCTTTTGTGCAGGTTCAGTGTGACTTTTGTCGGGCGTATCTACAAGAGAGGGAGGATGTCAGTTCCAGGAACCCCACAGATTTGACCCAAGAGACGCTGGGTTGGTTGAAGATCATCTCTTTTATCATGAATCAACACATTTATATTCATTCTCATTGATATTGTTTTAGTTATTATATCACTTACATCATTCTAATACTAGATAAGCTACTTAGTATATAATATTTATTTGTATACATATTTATATACATATATATCACTTACATTCATCAACTTACATTGCTCTTTTTGTTGCTTGCACCCCTTGATGTTGGTTCATCCCCACGCCGCATCGGGGGTCACCATGGGTCACCTAGGTGTTCTCTTGTTGGTGGTCGCCATTTGCATCGCCAGCTACGGCATCAGGAGATTTCGGCTGCGATGGTCGATTGGGATTGAGCTGGTGTGGATCCCACTCAACGGGCGATATGAAAAAGGTCAACCAAGAATGGGAAACATCATGATACCAGGAAATACCAGGAACACAAGCTCCAAAAGTGAGAAGCACTAAAAATGAATCTGAACAGCAAAAAGGCTCCAAAACAAAGTTAAAGTCCTAGTACCTCCCTCCAAATTCTTTTGATTGGCCATGGTGTGCTATATGCCGAAAAAACTGGGTGATGCCTCTTTCCTTTTCGCACTTCCAAGTCCAAGTCTACTTGGTTGGTCTTAAGACTGGATTGCTGATGTTTTTCCCATGCCTCCACCGCTTTGGGAAGACACGACCGAACCTCCATCGCTTCTCCATCCCTACAGTGATGAAAAAAACCCTCTGGTGAAGTCACATCATTCAGGGCCCAGTTTCCGCTGGTCACATCAACAGTAAACCATCTAATATCACATGTATCTCAACTATCAAACCGTAAACATTGGTTAAAGATTGCTTTCTGGATAATCTCAACTATCCTTGGTTCATATTGCTTATGGACGGTGGATCTTTAAAGATTGCTTCACCAGGCAGAGCGGCGATGCTGGTGGGGATTCCCAGGGATGCCAAGGCGGTCACCAGGCGTATGGGTGTGTCTGAAAATGTCGTGTACCCCATTTACCCAATGGTTTTGCTGATCATTATCCCGTTTTTAAATGGCTATTTCATTGGGAAGATTAACCCTATTTTCAGACAAACCCGTATGGGCATCGTGATTCAACCAATCAACAGGGCTGTTTCATGGAAAACAACTGGAAAACACAGACCTAGCAGCACCTGAACATAAGGATGTCAACAGTCACAATGGATTTTTCACCGATGGGGTCGGACCAACGCTGGCATTGCGGTAAACCAACCGATGAAGGAAAGTTGAAATGACGTTTTTAAGGGCCACATATGTCATACATGTGTGTCTTAACTGACCCAACTCATTAAGAATTGCACTTGTTATCTTGTTCCATGGTATTTTTTTCCATGGTATCTACTTGGTGAATCGGGGCCCGTAAATCGCTGAGCAGTGGTTGGTGGCTTCCAATTCCATGGTGGAAATTTGATTGTCATCCCCAGGTGTTTTTTTTCTGCGCGGTCGTTTCAATCACCGACCAGACAAAAAATGACTGATACAGTCAGCATCGTCAGCTATTGGAATTGGATGTGTATATATATATATGTATATTCATTTATAATTTGATGTAATTCAATTAATTTGATAACTGGATGCGATTATGTTATATCTCGATATGCTGGGATGTAATATTATCATGATTTTAATTCGGAGAATCATCAAATGGATGTTAGTAGTTAAACTACTTGGTTGATGAACACAGCATGGTGATCATTAGATATATACAATCATGATCAATCATGACTATGACGGTACCATATGTTATCATGGTCATATGAAGCAACAAATGTGGTAAACCCATATTAACCCAATAATTAACCATCCCCAAATGGTAGGTTGATTGGGTTTCCCAGGTTATATACAGTAATGATTATTGGGTTTCCCACGTTAGATTTAACCTCTAAACTAACATAACTATGGAAAATCACCACTTTTGGCAGGTAAACCAACTATTTCTATGGGCCATGTTCAATAGCCATGTGAAAGTTTACCGGAGGATATCCCCATGTTTTATGATGTATCCATATATATCCATATTATATAGCCATTTTCACTACCATATTATATAACTCTCATGATATCCCCATCTACCAAGCATGAGCCAAACTCCGTGTCAAAGGCGCTGGCTCAAAGTCCAACTCCACGAAGGCGATCTGCAAAGGAGATCCCTCGGGAGTCCAGTAAACTAACGTAGCTATGGAAAGATCCACCATTTTTAATGGGAAAAATCCACGATTTCTATGGTCATTTTCAATAGCTATTTTGACATAACCAGAGGGTACATGGGTTTACTGTTGATTTATGGTTGATTTATGGTTGATGAACTTTTGTAGGGTCCAATTTCATGGCTATTTTGTGGAGAATACTATGATGATTAGCCAATTGTTTTTTTGCGACGGTCTTGTCCATTGGGCAAGCGCACTTGCCACTGAAGTGATGGCATATCATTGAGAACTGTTTTCCTTTTGTATAAACCTCAAAGACATCTATATTGATAAGAACAGATTTCAATTGAAATCAATTTACTTTCAATTTACTTTATTTGAATCTACTTTCAGTTGATTTTCCTTTTTAACATCAAATATATCTATTGATAAGAAAGGATTTCAATTGAAAACAATTTACTTTCAATTCACTTGAATCTACTTTCAATTGATTCATATTATTTTTAAACCTCAAAGAAATCTATATTGATAAGACAGGATTTCAATTGAACTCGATTTACTTTCAATTCATGTGAGTCTACGTTCAATTGATTTTCCTTTTACACCTCAAAGAAATCAATTGATAAGAAAGGATTTCAATTGAAATCAATTTACTTTCAATTCATTTGAATCTACTTTCAATTGATTTTCCTTTAAACCTAAAAAACAAACTCCAAAAGCTTGTGTGCACAATGGGGTACCATGAACCATGCACACAATTACATTATTGAGGATCTCGGTCACTCATGGGGCACCCTCTTGAAAAAAAATTGGGTGCTGTTTTCAAATAGGGGTTTAATAAATTTTAATAAGGCATCTAATTATTTGGGAAACCTTGCATTTTCAAGGCTTTAACATGGATATGGCTTTCTAAAGTAAATGGACCAGCTTTACCCAAAGAAAGGTGGATAAAAGGTTATGTATTTTTTTCACCCCAAAAGTTTTTGTGCACAATAGGGTACCATCCAAACAATTACATTATTGAAGATCTCGGTCACTCATGGGGTACCCTCTTGAAAGAATATTTGGGATCCCCCGTTGTACCGGTAATTTTTTTTCCTGTGACTCCACTTCGGCGAATAAAAATGCCAAGTCAGGTAAAAATCATCAAAAAATGGATGTCGCAAGGTTGGGGTTCAGGAAAACAAATGTTGGAGCCAGGAAAGCAGGATTAGTAACATAAGGTTGTACCACAGGATTTTATATGTTTCGAAGATTTGCTTGCCAGGATTGCATGGTTTTCCAAACAAGGTTGGGGTACAGGAAAAAAATCTCTGGGCCAATCTGTCGAACAGGAGAGGGTAGGATCTACCTAAAGGTTGTGATCATACTTTTTAATGCATTTCAGTGGTTTGTAAAAAGGTTGAATCCGATAGCTTCGCTGGATTTTAATTTTGAACAGTTATGAGCTCCGTATGGTTTTCTTCAACAATATCCTCCTCTGTACTACCAGTTTTTTTTCCTGGGGGTTCAGTACGCTTTTTAAAAAACACTATTTTCCAAAAATCTAGCAGACAGTGGGTGAGGGTCCAGAGGCATGATACGGGGCCAGGAATCAAATATCATACCAAAAAAGGCCCAGTTTTTTTTCCTGAAAGCTTCCTGACGTACAGTGGCAGGAAATCAATTTCTGTCTGTTGTGATTGAGGGGGTTGATCTATCAGTCTGTGTATGTAAGGCATCAGGAAATCAATCATGAATGACTCTGATAATGGGTAAGTTTGTAGAATTCCCAAGGTTAGTAGCCAGGAATTTGAAGGTGGATGGATCAAATGGGAGTTTACTAGAACATATCTAAATGTCAAACCCCAGGAAAAAATGTACCATGATTACTTGAGGGGGTATGATTCTTTACATGACTTTGCAAAAGGGTACAAACACATATCTTCACCTTCGCCAACCAAAAAAAGTGACTTCAAGAGGCCAAGGCGCAGGGGTCAAAAATAAAATCCAAGGGGCTGGACCTTTTTTGACTGAATACTTGCGGATGATCTTCAAAGGTTGGCCCCACAGGGAAAAAGTCGCATCACCAGGCCAATCATCCACAGATAGGACATGATGGGACGAATTCAAGAATTTTGTGTCAACGCGCGCCCAATTTGCAAAACACATGTTTTTTTTGCTGAAAATACAGTTGTCCTTGCAAAAGGGTGCAGACACACATGTTCAGCTTCACCAACCAAAAAAGTGACTTGAAGAGGCCGAGGCGCAGGTGTCAAAAATAAAATCCAAGGGGCTGGACCTTTTTTTGACTGAATACTTGCGGGATAATCTTCAAA